TCTCAATGAGCCTGCGCCGCCGCCGCCGCCGCCACCGCCGCCGCCACCGCCGCCGCCGCCGCCGTCGCCGGAGCGGCCGCGGCGTAATCGAGCAACGCCGACGTGAAAGTGATCGCGCTGTTAATCGCGCGGCAACCTCGCTCAAATAAATAACGACGCCGACGCTTCGCATTGGCACCTCGACCTCGGCGCGTTTCATATCTCGGACGAGCGCACTTGCGATGCACCGGCGCGAAGCCCTTTGCCAGCGAGCGTTACATATGCCGCGGCTGCGAGGGGCTTCCGGACGCGCGAATCCTTTGTGCGCGCGTGTAGTCGCCGGTGAGGTGAAAACGCCCGGGAAAGGCTCCAACAGTAGTTACAAGTGAAAGAGCAAAAGGAAAACGAAAACAGCTCGAATGTTTGTGTACGTACAGAGTGTCCGACGTGGTCAACACGCGCGAAGCTCTCGCGTACGTGTGGATTAGGTCAAGCCGGACAACAAATTTCCCCACTATTCTGCGAACAAATTCGGAGTTCTTAAGGGGACTGGAGGGTCGGATTACTGAAAAAATCATGCTCGTTTTTGACAATGATTTTGTGACGAACTGAATAAATGTGCAAGAATGAAACTTTTACATATATTTATATAACATATGAAGAGTAGAGAAATTTTGTTTTTAAACAAATACTCGTATAAATATACGTCCACTTAAATTTTAAGCGCGTTTCTCTCGAAATTTTATTGTTCAACTTTTCGCAGTGATTTCTCCGAAACTGAGCTTCGCATCGATTTGAAATTTTAAAGCAATAATATTTGTTCATGTGGCTCTCAGATGAACCATGGACAACTCCGTAAAAATATTTCATTTCGAGATATTAATTTTTTTATCGTAAAAGAACTGAAAAATTTGATTTTTTTCCCAATAATAGCTGCCATTTTGTTAATTTTGTTCGATTATTTTGTTGTAGTGGTTCACCGGGTAATGATAAGCCTCCTCAAGATTTCTAGCTAAAATTCGTTCTGATCGGACCACCGAGAGCCGAGATATTATTGCAAAAACGATAACTTGAAGAAAAAAAGGAGAGCATATTTCAGTTATATATATCGTATATTTATACGAGTATTTGTTAATGAACAAAATTTTTCTGCTCTTCATATGTTGTATAACTATACCTAAAATTTTCATTCTTGCACATTTATTCAGTTCGTCACAAAATATTATCAAAAAACAAGCATGATTTTTCAGCAATCTGACCCTCCAGTCCCCTTAATTAAAGAAAATTTGCGAATGAACTTGCGCGGCACGTCACGTTCACCGTCGTGTGTTTGTGGATTAAATTAAAGCGCGCAAAAAGTTCTCTGATATTTTGCGAAAAAGCACGTAAAATTCTGAGTCGCTAATAAAAGAGAATTGTGTGTACAACGGCCCGCAATCATTTACGAGTATTCCCTAATTAATCGCCCCAAATTTTACGTGGTTTTCTGGCAAAATGCTAAAGGACCTTTCATTTGATAAATAAATATATACATTTCATGTATAAATCAAGCGAGATACGGATGTAATCGCGACTCGAAAACGCGATCGCGCTCCGAGAGCGATACAAAGAGGCGCGGGGCTTTGAACAAAGCGCGGCAGCGCTTTCGCGTAGCGGGCGAATGTCGAAACGACGGCTCGCCATTAATTTCGCTTTGCTCGGACGTTAATATCGTCAATTCGTTAGTGCCGGCCCGTCTCTTAATCGCGACGAACGGCGTTCGCGACGTTCTGACAGCACAAAGAGCGCGGAGTGCCTCGCGTCGCTTCGGGCAAACGTGGCAACGATAGACGTGCATTGTCCCGAGGAATCCCGAGATCTCGAAATTCGGAAACTAGGGCAGATTCCCGAAAAGCCGAGATATTGCGATCTAGATACTAAGACAACATCCCGATGTACAATATTGCCGACATATTGGAATTGTTTCGTTGTGTAGTCGGCTGCATTAGTATTCACTCTCATTTAGATGCAGCAAGAGTGCACTTCACAAATTGGCAGACGTTGTACTGAGCCCCTTTACTGTTTCCGAAGTAATATATTATCTCGAAAACCATAATACACCCCGAAAACAGTACACACCCAGGAGTATTTAATGTCTACCAATTTGAGCACATTTTCGCCGTATTCAAATGAATCGGCACTAAAGCGGCCGGCTGTACAACGAGACGATTCTAAAATTTCGGTGAAATGGTATCTCGGCCGATTGTCTCGGTATTATGACACTTCGGGCAATTGTTCAGTTTTCTAAATTTCGATACATTTTTCTGTCAGAACGATGCATGTTCAATGAAAGTATCAGCCTGAAAATGCTTACAACGAAACGATTTCAGCATTTCGGGAGATTTTCTCTCCATCCGTCACTGTGGTTTTCCAGAAAATTGCTTCACTTGTCAAATTCCGATGCACTTTTTCAGGACAACGCATATACGCCAGAATTATAACCTCGAGAACAATACAGTCAGGGATATCGAATACACTTTTTGAATACACTTGATACACTGTCCGAAAGAAGAAAACATGTCGAAATTTCGATCAATTTTTTTCTCTTCGTGACAATGCACATCCACGTCGGCAGCGTGGTTTCGCGGTCGTGACGGCAAATTTTGACGACGAGAGAGAGAGAGAGAGAGAGAGAGAGAGAGAGAGAAAGAGAGAGAGAGAGAGAGAGAGAGAGAGAGAGAAAGAGAGAGAGAGAGGGAGACAGAGAGAGGGAGAGAAAGGGAGACGACGCGTCGCGTTAATTTCGTTTGTCCGAACTGGAATTTCGTGAATTCATACCAAGCGATTTGTCGTCCCGGAGAGACAGACGGCACAAACGGATCCGGTTGACGACGACGAGGACGCGCGTTTGATCCCCCCTCGGTTTGCACACTGATAAAGACTGCCGGTGCGCGTTTATTGCTAATGCCCCCGTCGATACGTGCCGAGATAAAGTTTGTTACTCTCGCACTAAGAACTCCGCTATAAATCGCCGATTCCGGGAGACTGTGCTCGCTTTATCTCCATTATTAGTTTCTCCGTGTATTTCTGGAGGAGTTCCCCATCCTCCCGCGTACAAGTGTGTTGCAGAAGCGTCCGATCTCTCCCACGGATTCCTCACACGAACTTGGAAACGTTCTCCACCGGTCGCACCCGTCAAGCTTGAGCCATCGCCGCGGCACGACACTCGCGAGGTCGCTTCGAAAATCATCTCGTCGTCGCGTTTTATTCTTTTCAGTTTCTTTTTCCCCTTTTTTCGTTTCTTTCTTCCGTTCGCCGTGTCACTCGTGCGCGCGACATCTCGCTGTTGTGCGGATCGCTTTTTTTCGCGCGTAACGTAATGCTAATTGCGACGAGAGGCTTATCTGCCAGTAGATTGCGCGCGATGATTTTTTATGCGGATCTCAAATACGTCGCATTAGCTGGATGACTCAGTAAATGACGCAAGATAAATACTCGGAATATCTTGCGCCTTCGTCAAGCATCATCTATCATTTGCGAGAGAGAGAGAGAGAGAGAGAGAGAGAGAGAGAGAGAGAGAGAGAGAGAGAAAAAGACGCATACACACACACACACACACAGAGAGAGAGGGAGGGAGAGAGAGAGAGAGAGAGAGGCTAGTTTAATCGATGATCATTAAATATTAACCAAGTATCGACCTTTCTTCTAGCTTAGACTCCGAATTCAGCGTGCAAACAGCCGAGATTGTTTTTACCTCGACCCTCCGCGCCCGACTGCTCCGAGAGTTGAAATTCCGAGTTAATACCGATTAGCATACAGCGGTCTTTCCCGCTTAGCCGGGTAGTTTGCGTCCTCGCTTAAATCAGGAATTTCATCCTCGCTGACATTTCAAAGAGGTATTCTTGGTGCTCTCGTAGCTATCGGAGCGAACGTGGAACGATAGTACGCGCGCCGTACCGTGTACCGTACGCGATGATGTAAGCTTCGACACACATATCGCGTACTATCGTATCCTGTGACGTGTGGCCGCGCGCCGTGTTACGTCACCTGGCGACTTATTTTCCGCGGCTCGATCGTTTCGGGGCCAATCGATATCAACGCTCTCCACGCTGCCGCACGTTTCTCCGAAACGTCATCGGTCGTCGAAAAGATCGAGAAGACGCCGTCGGAAGAGGATACGCGTCGTGGCACAAATCGGAGAAGCAACGTGCGGCAACGAGGAGGAGACCCTCGCCTCAGTTTCTCGCTTCAAATAGCGCGTCAGCTTGATCGTCTGCGATTTTTTCCCGGCTACCGACGCATTCTCGATTTGTTGTTGCAAAAGCGGCGCTGAGTGGGTTACACAGGCGTGTCGTCAAGGAGAACTTGTCTCGGTCCGTCTCGTGGGATATCTATTTGCCTGTCTGCCTACGCGTTCTTTTTCTCTCTCTCTCTCTCTCTCTTTCTCTCTCTCTCTCTCTCTCTCTCTCTCCCTCTCTCCCTCTCTCTCCCTCTCTCTCTCTCTCGCAACGCTTGCGAGGAACGTCGTCCTGACGGAAATTCCGCTAATTAGAGAACGCTCGGATTAGCGGACGACTTAAGAATGTTTAATGCGCTTCCTCATGACGAGAGCACGCGCTCCCCGAGCGACGAGAGTTCAGGGAAACGCAATCGAACCGGGTAATCTTGTGGGCTGAACGCTAATGCGCGCCTGTGGGAAACTTTCTTTTTGTTATTTATAACAGCTTCGTTCTCAAGTTAGAACGAGGAGTCGTGCTACGCCTGGAGACGATGCACGCGGGTCCTGCTCGCGATACTTTGGAAAATCGAACAAGCCACGTGTGTGGGCGAATGTTGTGTGTGTGTGTGTGTGTGTGTGTGTGTGGGATGATCCTGCACCTCGCATCGCCGATGCGAGCATAATATGCCATCGGACAGACGGTTTGAGAGCATTTCGCGCGCGTTGCGAGGAATCCGAACGGACGCGCCAGGACGCGCGCTCTCCGCACTCTTGTTTTTCCTCTTTCTCTTTCCCCCTCTCCTCCTCGTGGCACGTGCCTCACCTTGTTTATTCACGGTGCTGTCTTCGGCGAACACGTCGTCAAATCACCCGATGATCTAACACCTGCGCTTCGCCGAACGTCGGGAAAACGGACGATCCACCTTGAGACCGCGGGTACGTACTGCGTATTATGCTCGTACTTTGTCAGTGGGCTCGTGATTATCTCCTTATGTGCTCTATGATAAAGCGAAAGAAGATAAATCGATCATTACTTATCGTCGCGTGTGCGTGCGCGCGTTAAGCCTTCCCCGCGATATTTGCGGAATATCGGCCAGCGAAACGGCGTAATCGCCTACGTGCGCGAGTGTGTGCCTCGCAGAACAAGGCAATGTCGCGTCATGTCGTACGGCCGTAAAGAAGCGGTGACTTGGCACAATGAACCGATCGAATTGCAAGGGAGAGAGACAGAGAGAAACCACTGTCGTTCGAGCAATGACCGTGCGTGGAGAAATACGAGAGCGCGATGTAATAAAACGCGATCGTAGCCGCGAGCCTCCGAGAATGAAACGTACAGTCGTGGACAGAAAGTGATTCGTCCGTGATTTTCTCCGCGAGTCCCGTCAGATGCGTCAGCCAGTCGTCCAGTGGCAGTGGCTCGTCTCTCCTAATGGGAGGATTTTCCCAAGTAGGACAAGAGACGGACACTCGTCGGAAAGTCGCGCGCAAAAGGATAACCTTTCTGTCTGCAACCTTACGCATGCGAGGCGCATCGAACTTCATGGATGCGATCCCGTTTCCGCACAGCATGGCGGCACTTGAAATTCTCGCTCGGGCACATCGTGAATATTCACGACCGTTGGTTGATAACAATTGATTGAGAATTGACCGATGAGCCAACGGTCATGATGTGCACGAATATTCAGGTCGCAATGGGCCCGAGCGAAAATGTCGAACGGCGCTACGCTGGGAAAATTCGTTTTGCCCAATGAGAGAGAATTCGCTTCCCAACGGGGGAATTCTTTTTCCGATCGGACAAGACAAACGCGTTCCGAAACTCACGCGCGGTATAGCGGACGACTTATCTGCCCGCGATTCTACATCGAAGTTACGCGCGTCGGGGCTTCTGGCTCGCTCGAAAATCGCCATGACGTAGCCCGCGATTGTACGTACGAGCGGACGTGTGACCTAAATTGGACCATCCCCATTAGAAGCGGCCGGATATCGAATAGCGGTTTAGAATAGGATAATATGAAGCGTCATGTACAGCCTGAGAGGATTAGCTTGGTTAACATGCCCCGCCCCCGTCAACGCGATGTAACGTCATTAAAAACACCTGTGTTTAAGCGAAGTGCGAGAAACGAGAACGTACAAAAGCTAATCGCGGGATATTAAACGCGGGCAACCTTGAATCACGGGAGGATAATAATGATGCAACGTGTTGCGGCGTCGAATATTTTTCCGGATTCACACGCGCGACGAATCCGCCTTTCACGTCAAGCCATCGTGTATGAATTTGTTGGTAATATTATTGGAAAATTGCAATCCCAGTTGCAGTAAACGTTCTGATCGAGGACACGGTTCCGCATGTTTGTACCAAACATATCCTCTTTACTCTACTAAATTATTTATGTTATCGATCATTACAGGTTACGAGTGAAATTAGAAATCGCAATAAACGAAGAGACATCACAGTTACAAATATACTACTGATAACGACAGTTTGAACAGTTACTCGTCGATATCTTGGAAATTGATAATTGATACCAGTCGTTCATTTGTTACGACTGTGCAGTAATTTTTTAGCTTCTTCGAAACTAAACTATCGATGCAACAATGAAACTAAATGGTGCTTGAGTCATTGCTGAAAAAAAAATATATATATTTGAAATAAATGAGTTTTCCCACAAGTGAAATAACGAACGGTTAAAAACGAATGAAATTGGACACAATTGAGGCAAAGTAAAACACGCACAACGCAACTAAAAGCCCAATGTTCAAGTTCTCCAGCCAGAATCAACCGTATGCGCTTAGTTTAACACGCGTGCTACAAATTGATAAATTCATTTTCACGACGAACCAACTGGGTCACTAATCGGGACGTTCACCTTAGTACATTTTCGCGCTAATTGATTCTGTTTACGGCCGCGGGAAGCACCGTATTAATGTAATACAACGCGAATAATGCCTGTGTTTAATGCAACAGCGTCGTACCCCGTTGTAAACCGGAGCCGCTAAATGCGCCTCCACGTGTTGCCCGGCTCGCCGTACCGCGCGCGGTACTAACTGTCGCGGAAATTTCCAAAGTGTTTTTTAAATTGCTTTCTCCTTGCTCTTTTTCCACTTTTCTCTTTTTCCCCTCTCGTTGTTCCTTTTTTGCGAGCGGCGCGCCGCTCGCGCTCCATCTCCGCGCGCAACAATCAATATTAAAAGAGGATCGACAATCGGAAGCTCCGAAGAGAGCCCGCGCAAAAACTGTTCGGGAACAATGGAGCGGCCCAGGAACGCCGACGGATGCTGAATCGGTCCACCGCGGGGAGCCGCGCGCGAGAACCAATCGACGTTCGGATGCCAAATGTACAAAGCCGAAAATGCATGACCTACATTATCGATATGCGACCTCCGGCGCGCGACAGATATGACACGTACCGTGACCCATCGAGATCGTTGGCGGCGTGGCGCAAATGTGGCGAGCATTGATCGTGCGTGATTTAAAGAGCGACTTAAAGCGCGCCGCTCGAGCGATGGCCGTCATAGGGCTGCCCTACGCGCTCGCTTGTGCGAGCGCTCATTAAAAATCATCAATGACTGGTGTACGCTCTTAATTCCGCCAAGGACGCCCATCTGCCAAAAGTCGATCGCTCGGTTGATCGGCGAACATTATCTACGACCGGCGCACACTCTTCGATCCGTCCGTCGATGATAGCCGCCTTCTAAAGGTCGATTATTCGACTATCGCATTCGCTGAACGCAGCTATAGGATGTGTCGAGAGGACTCGACGATTGTACAATCATCCGGGAAAAAACTAATTGCGACTAATTGGTGTATATACTTTTAGATTTACCAATGAGATCTGTCTTTCAAAGGTCGGTCCTTCAATCGTTGCGTTCTCTGAACGCAGTCATAGTCCTCGTCAGCCGATCGAGCCGATGCAGATTTAAACATAGCGAAAGATTGCAATCGAACCGTTGACGAGTGCACGACAACGACTGTTATTGCGTCCTTAGAGCCGCAAAATGACGATGCGCTCACTACTCATTCAAGAGACTCATTCAACATTCAGCAGGGGTTAATGCAATCCTTTTATCGGCGGGACTGCCGGCCGGTCGCTCGACCAGGCAAAAATCACGTCCGTCTCTCGTCGCGTGTTCCATTTTTAAATAGCGTACCTCTGAACGACCGAGTGTCGCATGAAAGACTCCAGTCTGTCGCGAAATAACTGAAAACGACGAATATTTCTATCCGCGCGACGGCGACGCCGACGGGAAGCCGAAAGCCTCCTGAATATTCATCCGGATTTGCAACTCCGATTCACGACCGTGCGACTCGCGACCGGTTATAACAATCAGCGTCTGCATCATTTCTCCATTTCCGGTCCGCCAGTCTTTCCGACAAGACGCGCGACCTCCGACACGTTCCCTAGACGCGTTCGTCCATTCATTCAGTCGGAGCTACGTGTGACTGCGCGACCTTGACACGGCTAACTCCGTCGGAGCTTACTGCAAATGAAATTTAGTCGACCGTGGCTGTCGTTGATACGACCGTATCAACCGCGTGTCTGCGTGCGCGCGTGCATCCTTATCGCGCGTTTCCTCGCTGATCGCGTCCGTCGCGCTCGTCGCGCGTTATCACTGTCCGTCGTCGACGCTCGAGTTGCTCGCGGAGAACAGGTGTGTACCAGGTCCCGGTATTAGGCGGAGGTAGGCGCGAAAACGACGAATGCGAGAGAGACAGAGAGAGAGAGAGAGAGAGAGAGAGAGAGAGAGAGAGAGAGAGAGAGGGAGGGAGAGAGAGAGAGAGAGAGAGAGAGAGAGGGAGAGAGAGAGAGAGAGAGAGAGAGAATTATCGACGTCGACGTGCGGGTCTTGCGTACCTCTATATCGGTGGCACCGAGCGAGCGACGTGCGCGATCAAGGTCGCCGCGCACCGCGCCGCGCCGCGCACCTCGCGCCACGGGAAGTCGATGAGCATCGACTTCTCGACCTTCCGTAATGAGGAAGAGCACCGCGAACACCATCGACAGAGGCGATCTATACGCGGTTAGGCGTATCTCCGTGGCTCTTGTTGCACGACTTTAACGTTCCACGCGAGCGTTATCGGTCCTCCCGATAACTGCGTTTCTCGACGGCCGAGGCAGCGTCACGTCGTCGTCGTTGCCTCGAGGAGCTGCGGAAAGAGATTGCTTCACGATGAAAGCGACGTTGTTTCACAAGGTGAGGAGAAAGAGAGTCGGAAATGAAAAGGAACAGAGAGAAAATGAGAGAAAGAATCTCACCTGGGAGGGATCTGCGGAGAGACAGTCTTTCTCTCTCTCTCTCTCTCTCTCTCTCTCTCTCTCTCTCTCACATACACACACGGCGTTCCATGCACACGATCGCACAGTGAGCTGCGCAATCCTCTCGCGACGAGCTCCGAAAAATTGCGTGGGCGAATGAAAGCGCGAAACACTTACGTCGCGAGTCCAGCTCGGCTCTGAGTGCGGCGAGGTTTCCGCGTCGCGGAGACTCGAGAACGCGACTCTCGCCCACCGATCCAGCGATTTTATCTCGTTGTTGTCTAACGTCGTCTTGCAACGACCGGCTTACACGCTAAACGCTCGATCCTCCGCGAGCGCGCGTGCAAGACTCGCAGTCGCGAGTGCGGTGTCATAATTACGTATCACTTCGATACACTCGTAAATACCTCCGCACGCGCTACCGCCGACCTGAGGCGCCGTGACCTCGCCGGATATCACTGGACACGCGATTGCCTCGTCGCTCGCTAATGAGCGAACGGTCACGGACGAGGGGAAGAGAGACAGAGAGAGAGAGAGAGAGAGAGGAGAGAACGAGCTGTCAAATGTGGCCCCGTGTGCCTCGGGGACTGTTGCGCGCCGCGAGCGAGCGCGCGTACGCGCGCTGTCAATTACCCGCCAAAATCCTGTCGCGTCGCGTCGCGAATGAAATCAGACTGCCAGAGCGCGGTGCAGAGGAGGACCTTCTCCCCGGGTCTTCTCTTTTCCCTCGAGAAGTCTCCGAGAAGGCTCTCCCGTCGACGTGCGCTCTCGACGCAACGACGTGGAGCCGCGGCTTCGCTCTCACCTTCGAATCGTCCGCCTGCCGTCGGACCGCCGCGAGAATACAGCGCGGAAGGAGGTCACAGTCCCTGTCGTCGCGGTTGGCCGGTGGTGCGCCTTCCGGAGGACGCTCCTCGGTGTTGGTTCTCGATGTTCCCGCTGCTCGACGTTCCCGTTGGGACGGACGGACCGCGCGTGAGAGCGAGAGAGAGAGAGAGAGAGCGAGAGAGCGAGAGAGAGAGAGAGAGAGAGAGAGAGAAAGAGAGAGAAAGAAAGACGAGTCGATGGATCGACCGTGGCTACCGGACGTCTTCCGCCGCGCGTCTTCTGGCCGTATCGCTCCGAGGGAACGTCGTCAGCTCTGCTTCTCCAACGAGCTGCTCCGGTGAGCGCGGCGCCGAGTAAGAACCCGCCACGACGGCCGTCCGTATCGTCGCATTCGTGCGCGAACGCTGACTGACTCCCAACGCGCGCGCGGCGGCCTTGTCGGAGCGAGGCCGATCGGTACGCGGCCGGCGGCAGTGCGGCACCTGAGAGCGCGCGCGCGCACACCTCGCGAAATTATCGCGGAGAGGTGACGAGAGAGAGAGAGAGAGAGAGAGAGAGAGAGAGAGAGAGAGAGAGAGAGAGAGAGGGCGAGCGAGCGAGAGAGAGAGAGAGAGAGAGAGAGAGAGAGAGAGAGAGAGAGAGAGAGAGAGAGAGAGAGGACGAGCGGTTCGTCGTGGAATAACCGAAGTGGAAACGACGGCTTTTCCATCGAATTTCCCATCTTGTTGCTCGCGATGACCTGCGTTCGAGGCGAGGAAGGAAAAGACGCCGAAGCAACGTCTTCAGGGACGCGGGTCGGAGGCTACCTAGGTTCATTCCCCGTTTGCTGTATTCTTGCAGAGACAGCGGGCCGATAAGATACCAGACGCTTAGACGGAGGTTCTTCGTGTCGCTTCTGGGTGGAGGTTCCTCAGCGGCGCCTCTTTTATCTCTGACACTGTGTATCCGTGTGTGATAAAGCACAGTCGCGAGCATTAAACTGTTTTACCTGCGGCGAGCTGACTTGCCAACGAGGCTGTCAGGCCGCTGGCGCTTCGTCGCGTTTGTTCTTGCGATGTTTTTAAATATAAAAATAAGCGCTTTCTTTTTGTTGTACGTTACTCGGGAAATAATTTCGTACAGGGTGTTAATTCTGAATTTCGCGAGAAATACGTCATATCTAGAGAATTGGAACCGGAGAAAAGAATGCTTCTTCTGCAATAAAAAAAAGAATTGAGATTAAAGTGTTAATTAGGATGTCGTCTGTAATTTTTGCTCATTATTCACGCAGCGTTATTCCTCGTGAAAATCTTTGACAATTTTTCCTTCGCCAAAGTGTCGAGGTAGGTGATGTAGATTTTTTCATTTTCAGCATAACGCATCTATGAAGTTAAGCCTTGGATTTTGTTAAAGCAAAATCCACTTGAAATTGGCCGAAGAAAATAATTTGTCATCCATTTAGTCGTCCGAAGCTTAACTCGCGAAAAACCGTTTCATTCAATTGCTTATATTTTGGAAATTATCGGTGCCTCGATCCTCTTATTAAGAGAGAAATGAAATTTTCATAAATAGCGTTATCGTTAATCATCGTTTTTCAAACGATCAAATTACTTTCATACGATTGAGAGTGTACGATTTAACAAACAAAAAAGGCACGAAGCACAAACAGTCGACGTTCCCGTTTCGAAACGCATATAGCGATCATCGCGATGACGAACAGTTCGAAAAACTATCTAATTATAGAATACTCGTTGCGCTATTGTTAGGCCGTTAACGTTTTTCCGAGTGCATCTACGGTGCCGTTTGAAGCTTCAAAAGCGCCTGAAAATAGCGGCTGATTTTATCAAGATCGGCCCAAAAGAGAAAACTTGAGAAACATATTACAATGAGTCACTCTTGCATTTCCGCGCAACAAACAGTTCTCTTTCGTAACCTTAAAATATTTAAATAATATGACATCATGTTTGAGGAAGAAATTTCACGTTGACGTGTGGATAATTTTGCGAAAGTTGGTACAAAGGTAAATCGATTCAAATATAAAAAATCTTTTATTCCATAATCTCGAGAATAAAAATTGTGTTGCACGCAACGTTTGCCTGTTTACATGGAAAGAAAAAATATCTAAAGAATATTTGTTCGTTACTGATAACATATTTACTGCAATCCAAAATTTTTTTTATTGGAACAGAATAAACAATTGTGGAAGGCTATGGTTTGAAAAAAATATGTGTTTAGTGTCCGAAAAAATCCTCCCTCAATATGAAGATCCCTGTATTAATACAATATATTTTTAGTATCCATTCTTTTATTTTTTACATATTTTTCCTTCCTATGTAGGATAACGATCGATGCACGATTGTGCTTTTTCTCAAGGTCCGCTTTTTCCCGTCGGATCCTCGTGTTTTCGCGCTCGAGGAAGCTCGACACGGGACTTCCTGTGTCACGAAATACGCGCGGAAGTCGACGGCGCGTCTGCGCGGGAGCGCGACGCCGAGGGTACGTCGTCGCCGTCGGCCTCGCGCAGGCGGTCTTTCGAAACGATATTTTTAGAGACGCGAGTCGCTGCCCGTTAGAAACGACGGTAGTCAAGTATCGCCGTTGACCCTCGAGAAACCGAAGCCACGAATTGCACGACTTTTCCATTGACCATTGGTGAGCGATTCTTGCTTGGATTTGTCCCAGACCGTCCACGAACTCGCGACCAGTCTCGTCTCGTGCGTCGTGTAAAACAAAATGGAAGTTGCCGGCTTGCCTTCGCTATAGCAAAACGATAATACGTAGCCTGTTGTTCGACGAACGCCTCGTTTGCGCAAATCCTCCACGTCTTATTTATTTACCACGTCTAACCAACGACCCGTGACTCTCGTGTGTCGCAATCGCGAAAGCTCGCGAGTCTTTCCACCGTCGCGATCGTTTCCCTCGAGAGAGAGAGAGAGAGAGAGAGAGAGGGAGAGAGAGGGAGAGAGAGGGAGAGAGAGAGAGAGAGAGAGAGAGAGAACGAGGGACTTTTTCACGTAGGCATCTAATCCCGATCAAAACGTCTTCTAAAAATAAAGGCTGACACTACACAGTCGCGCGCGCGACGGATCTTTTTCCCGCGGCGATCCTCCGGCGTCCTAATACCTCCGTTAGCCGACGTGTTTAACATCGACAGTGCCTCGAGATACACGAGCGAGCGAATCCGACGTCCCACGGAATCCTCCGCAGGGAAATTTACCGAAGCTCCCGTGTACACCCCCCTCCCCAGCCGTCGCGCCTCCGCTAAGTGGACAATTGAAACAATGGGTGCGACCAGTAGCAGCCACTTCGCCAGATCGCCCACTTTGACCTCCATAAGCGAGCGCGAGGCGGAAAGCGCCCCGACAGACCGCCGGACAGACTCCCGCTCCACGAGCGATCACGGGAGACAAAGAACGTGCGCAACCACGACGGGCGGCCACGATGCAGCTGAGAATGAGCCACGATCACAGGTATATCGCGTTAATAAGACTTTTCAAGACGAGAGCAAGAAAGAGAAAGATGGAGAAGGAAAACGCATGAAGTTCGTCAGTCGAACTCATCTGACAATTCGACGCGCAGGCTCCGAGTCCCTGCGCGACCTTGAAGCCGGACGAATTCTGGGGCCAGAGGCCAACTGCGCCGAGCCTGACGAGCATGGTGCCGCCGAAACGCGAGACCTTGGTGAGTCGTCCGTCTCCTTTCCCCTGTTGCTTTCTCGCTGTTCTCCGCAGCGGCTCGTTTGCTCCGAATCGCTTTTGCCGCCGCCGCCGCCGCCGTTGCTGACGTTTCGCGAGAGACCACGAAACTGTCAACGTACGTTTTATTAATCGCGCCACGGGCGACTCCCGCTTCCCCGTCGCCCCTCGACTCGCTCGGCGCTGCGGGCCTGTCCAGGACACGTGAGATCGCGGCTAAATTAAACCGCCGGGCATTGCCATCGCCACTGCCAACGTCGCGTCGCTGTATCGCGCGGCGATTTTTCCGCGGCGAAGAGCGCGCGCGCGCGCGCGCCTTTTGTCCCGCCTAGCGGCAGGCCTGGCCGCGCTCCAAACCGCGCTTTCGGAGGAACACGCTGACTCACGCTTACGAAAAGCCGTTTTCACAGTCATTGGTGTACCGCGACATCACGTGCTCGGCTCGCGCGACGCGCGAGAACGCCGCGCTTCACGCCAGTGCAACGCTGCCGACCGACCAGGACGGACCATCCCAAACCGGAAAGAGAGCGACGAAAGAGCGGCAGTAAGCCTCGCGAGTCGCGAATCAACGAGCATTTTCTTTGTTTCCGCGCGGGACTTTGCTCCTTTTCCTTTGCCGCCGCGTCAATGGCGATTCGCGGCCGCGCGCTGCGCTTGGGGAATTGTCATCGTCGTTAGGTCCGTTCTTTTTCGCTGAACTGGGTTGCCTTCAGAGTGAGAGCAGGTAGTCTAGCCTCGGAGGAAAGAGGAACGCGCTAGAGCAAGAAAAGGCCTGCCGAGCTGACCGCGGCGGGATATTGCTGCGAATAATTTTAAATCGCCGGAGGACGAATATTGTTCGAACGCGCACGTTGATGACGCACGAGGGGGTTCGAATACTGGTTCGAATTCCGCGTCGAACCCTCGCGTTTCCAATTCATTGTTGATATCAAATCGATATTAAAGAGATATCGATATTAAAAAGAAATTGTAAAAATTCGAGCGGCAAGTCTATCGCTATAATTGGTCAAATTTCTGCGCTAACTGGTCGCCCTTGAAGTTGCGCGAAATATTGCTTTAGAGTCAGCTGGACCTCCCGGAACTCAGCGGTCAGGCCGCCATGAGAAACACCAACAAGGCCCAGTTCATCTGAAAGGAACGGGCCTATTGTCGCACTTTTTATCGTTCGGCAATTGCGCCCGCGACAATTAATTCGGCCGCGTTATCGCGTCTCCCCAAGGCAAAGCAGGGTCCATTACGGTCCGCTTATTTATATTGCAGTTAACGTATGCCACGCAAATGACAGGTTGGCAGGCCGCCGATGGTCACGGTCCCCCGACGTATCAGCAGAATAACGAAGTAATGGAGCTGTCGCGAGTGATTTCGCAGCTGGCCATGGCCAATCATCAATTAGCGTGCGCGCACAATGCAACGCTGGCGCGCATGGAGGCCTTGTACCTCGAGCTGTCGAAGGAACGGGAGCACCGGAAGCGCGCCATTTTCGCCGGAAACTCGGCCACATGCGACGACGTCCTCAGCAGGAGGCTGCGGGACGAGCCGGAAGAGGCGGTCGTCGAGAGGGATGACGCGCGAAGACTCGAGCAGCGCGTCGTGAAGCTGGAGAGTCTGCTGGCGACTGGTTGGCCGCGACAGTGCGACAAGCAGCGGGAGTCACGCGAGGACGACAGATTGCGCTCCAGAATCGACAGACTGGAGAGCTGGACGCGAACGAGAGATTCGACAAAGGACGACAACGACGATGACGAGGACGAGCGCTCGCGGCGCAAGAAGTCGCGCTGCGAGCGAGATGCGAGCGGCGAGCCGCTCAACGCTGACGAGGACCAAGGCGCGACGACGGACGAAACGGACGAAGCTCGTGGGTGCTGCGATGTTTGTTCCGGCAACGGCGAAACGAGCGTTCCTAGAATAGACGGAGGTAGACCGCGTTCCGCGAACGTAGATTGGGACAAGCCGCGCAGAAGACGCGCGAGGTCGAGAGGTGATGAAGAGCAGGACTCAATGAGGAGCTCGGCGGCCGAGGAGGAGGTGCTCAGGTTGTCGGAGGAGATCGAGAGGCTGAGGGTCGAGCGATCGGAATGCCAAGGCGCGAACGAGAGGCTGCTGGGCAGTCTGGCTGACCAGAAGAACCTGGTGGCGAAGTTGAGCGGGGATTACGAGGTACCGTGCGCGGAAGAGACTTTTCTATCAGTGTGACCGAAGTTCTTATAGGCAAGGTTTCGGACCAGACGGGAACAGCGAGATAGGAGGAGTCTGATTTCTCTCTATTGTCTTTAGTCGGTTATTCGACTGATAACGAGTGTCTTCAGCTGTTTCGATTGTTTTCGGTTAGCCGAAGTCGACTTCGAAACGCAGCTCACTGAAAGTTTCGACCAACTTTTCCGATTGCTGAGATAGAGATGTCCTCGTTCCTCCGAGTTCTCCGAGTTCTCGTTTGCGTCCGCGGTGAGAAGGAAGGGCTCGGTGTTCGTAACTATAATCGCATAGTGAGAGCGTTATAGTCAGGGAGGGGGAACACTCTTATAACAAGTATTACTGTAGTGTTAGCGATAATATGCGTATTGCGACTGGTACTTTTTTGCTAGAACAACAAGATGATACAGGGGCCAAAAATAACCATGACGGTAATTGGAGCCAAAAACAACTCAGTTGTCTGCAAAAACTATAACTCTTTCGCGAGGTTAACAATTTTCTCTTCTCGGTGCACGTTCCGTCGGTGCACAAACTGAGATTTCCCTTTCCGCGTGACACTCTTCGGTTGTTTTGTTTCACTCTCGATTGCGGCGGTTGATGAAGAAGGCTGGAACGTACCAAATTTTTGCGCAAGTTTATACTTCGAATTTTAGAGCCAGAAATCGATCAGTATTCATTGCGCAGAAGATATTCTAGCTTCGTTGTTAATTCAGTCTTATAGGGTGCTACTTTGATTACACACCTGAGAGCATTCCCTCCGCACTATATAGGAACTGAAGGCGCGATACGCGAGCGTGGAGGCAAACTTGCACGAGCACAGGCAGCAGCACGGCGAACTGACGAAGCGTCTAGACTCCGCGAAGAGCGAGATCGACGACTTGCGGTCGCAGAAGGGCGCCGCCGACGCGAGGATCTCCGTTTTGGAGCGGGATCTGCAGCAGTCGCTGCTCGAGATGGAACGGATGAAGAATGCGGAGAGTCAGGAGGCCACGAGACTGCGGGCGCAGCTGACCGAGGAGATGATGGACAAGAAGAAGCAAATGGAGGCTCTGGAGGAAGCTTTGCGAGAGATTGAAAGACTGAAGGAGACCGTCAAGACTGAGAGGAGAAACGTGGAGAACGACGAGGCTGCCCAAGAAGAGGAGGTCGTTGGTACGTTTTGCTGAAGAGAGAGAGAGAGAGAGAGAGAGAGAGAGAGAGAGACCACGTGCGGCGGAGAGATTAAGAAATTGGCATCTCAAGCTTTAGCGTTAGTTTGCGCGAAGATTTGCCTGCAAACGAAAGTTCTGCAGAGTATAGGTTCTCCCCGAAGTTCAAGACAATTTCAGAGAACACTAACGCGTCTTTTTCAATTAGAAATACCGACGGTTGTGATTCGCATGTCGCAGATATGATGGACTCGATGGACGACGCGGCGGAGAGCCTATCAGGCACGCACCGTGCGGCCAGTTTGGAGGAATTTAAGAAGGAGCTTACCTTGAAGAGAGAAGCCAGGCAGAGGGCTATCGCAGCGGTCTCGTCCGAGATGGAGAGGCTCAGGCGCGAATTGGACGCCGAGAAGGAAGCCCATACCAAGACTTCAGGCATGCTGGCTCTGCTGCGTTCCGCTCGCGGTGACTCGCCGAGTCTCGAAGCCGCGAGCGACGAGAAAGCGAAGTCCGCGATGAAAAAGCGAGGAGAGCGCGAACGCTCGGACGACGAGAGCGAGAAAGCGTCGAGACGCGCGAAAGCGCGACGGCTGACCAACACCTTGAAGGTGCGATCGCGCGCGCGCGAGCGAGATTTCGCGAAACCTGAATGCCGCGAAACACTCATCCGCTAAACGATTGGAACGCATTCCTTCCGATGAAGTCAGGAGCGCATTAAGTCGCGATTGCGAGCCGCTACGCAACACCTGGCCTGCGCCAGGTGACTCGTCATGAGCTGAAGGAGCTGCAGTGACAATAGATCGGTTCTCTTTAGCCGAACTGGCTTGCACCTTTTGTCTTCGAAGTGAAATAACTATATAGAGTATAATGCTGTATAATTTAGCTTGAAGGGAACGAAGAGACAAAGTTCCAGTTTCCGGTGCGGCACTAGAGTTCATTTAAAAAAAAAAAAGAAGAACGTCGCAGTTGCAATACAAGAATAAGCCCAAGTATCTTGATTACATTCTTAATTAACAAATATCCCTCAGATTTTTCAGAAACTTCGCTTGACATGCAGAATGATTACCGAGTCACTCGATTCTTCATTCATATAGGGTAAATTCTTCACCCTGTGAATCATCGAGTGAATATTCTTCACTCAAAGTTGAAGAATGAATCTAAAGTCTCTCAAAATGATTGGAACACCTTTCATTTACAGCCATTTATTATATTCTCGTTTTAAATGAAAAAAAATTTGGAAAGTGAAATTGCAACAAAGGCTCGATATTGACGCTGTGAACTGTCACCTCGGCTCCTGTCATGTCCGATCATGACGGGTATCACGTGAGCGTGCGAGCAGTGGCTCGCAATCGAGAGCGTTCGATGGGGAACTTCCAACTCGATCGGGAAAAGCGCCGATTGAAACCGTTTCGCGCAAGCAAACTGTACAGACGCAGGCGCGTATTTCAGGTCTCCGACGAGCTGCGAAATGACATACGATACCAAATCGAGAAGGTGGACGACCTTCGCTACCACTTGGAGTCCGATCCGGAGCGCCACCGTCATCGCATTCGCTGTCTGACGGAAGCGAGCAGTAGGACGCGCGAGTCCCTGAGAGCGCGCGAACGTCAGACCAACGAGCTCAAAGACCAGCTCGCTCAGCTGCTGGTTAGACTGGGCGACAGGAGCTTCCTCGACGTGACAGACGACGCGGGGGCCGAGTGCGACCGACAGTTGGAGAACATCAACACCCTCAAGGCCCTCTACAACGAGAGACTGAGAGTTCTGAGCGAGCTGAGAGACGTCGCGGTCAAGGAGCTGACGGACTCGAAGCAGAAGCTGGAGTACTCCCTGAAGAAGTCCGAGAACTTCGAGGAGGAGCTGAAGAAGACCGAGGAGAAGGTACGGGAGCAAAAACGCGCGCTCGTGACAATTCCATCGGTCGTTTTCGAGACTCACGAGACTGCATCGCATTGTCACTCACACACCACAGGTCGACGCTCAGGCGTCGGAGATCACGAACCTCGAGTCTCAACTGGGACTAACCAAAGCCGACTGCAGGGACCTTCAGAATCAGATGTCTCTCATCAATGGACTGTTCACCCAGATGCTGCTCGGTGCTTCTTCCGCGGACATGGACCTCGATCGGTTGACCCAGCTGCTGCAGGTATCGAATGCGAATGCCGAGTCGTTATTTGCGTTTCCGACGGCTTATACTCGACAGACGTTTACTGTTATCGATCAATACTCGTTTATTTACTTATTCACGGGACTGAGACCCTTTGGTGTGCCTGATGAGAGAATAGAAATAATCTGCAGAGAAATTCGCCAAAGTTAATTAAATACGATAATAGAGTCAAAGAAATAAAAAGATACGAAAGGTCGATAAGAAGAGCTTCTTTCAAGCGAATAATAATCGATCTATATATATTTGTTAGATAAGGTGCAAGTTTCATTACAATTTTAATTAAATCCACCATATATTGTACGATAAGATTCAACACGATAAGACACACAAGTCTTTTATTATTTCTTTCTTTTGTGTAATAACGTTTTACGTTTTATTTGTATTTTTATTGTATCCTGATTATATCGTATCAAAGGGACTATTCTGGTGAATATAAATGAATAGATAAGCAAATAAATAATTTTAAGCTCGTCTTAAAACGTCTTGAAGAATGTCCGGTTGCACGATATTATGATCCAATACGTGAAATAATAGTAGACCAAACAAAATATCCGGGCGTTTTGATCACTGCAAGTCCTGCTGATTTCAACATCGCAGGAGAATCACGAACTCATCAGCGACATAGCCAGAGAGGAGAGTACCGAGGCAGCGGCTTTGCCGAAGCTTCTTCTGGACTTGGTCGAGCAAGTCGAGGGTGGCAAGGCGTCGCAGAAGCACTCGGCCGGGGAGAACAGCGCGGAGAGCAACAGCGAGACCTTCGACCGGAAGGAAGACGATCTGCAGGAGGAAGATATCGCCCACAACTTGCCGAAGGTTAATGATTGTGTAACGATGATTGCTTCCGATTAGCGAATTCTTTGCGCGCCCGCCTCGTCTGAAAACAGTGACATTGACGACCTTACAGCTATGGCGGGGAGCTCAAAGTTACAAGGAGAGCCTGGTCTCGCGCCGGTCTCGAGCTTATTGAGATAATTGCAAAATTATATCGTAGGTGTGGCGGGTTTTATTAGAGCTACTTAGCTGTCACGCGGTGACCTCTCCGAGCGTTTCCGTAGCCTCCTGCTCGGACCCGAACAGCTGTTACAAATCCGTAGACACTCCGGCCGGCCCGACGCTGGTGATATCCGTCAGCAAGACGTACATTCGCCTGAAGGAGCTGATCCTCGAGAAGAAGCACTTGGAGAAGGAGATGAATCGCATGAAGCAGCTGAACGCCCACCTAGAGAGCAAGCTGGGCGAGCAGGTGAGCACGACGTGAACTTTGCGTGCGAGTGGAACACGACAGCGATACCGATTCCCGTGTTTCTTTTGCTTCCCGTCGCGGCGGCTCCAGGAGAAGAGACTGTCCATGGTGTCGGCCGAGTTGACCAAAACGTGGAACATCGTCGGCCGCATGCAGGCGCAGCATCAGCAGCTGCACACGCACGAGGAGATACTGAGGTATGAGCTGCAACAGAAGCGGAAGATGCTGCAGGAGCTGAAGCAGGAGCTGGAGTATTGCAGGGAGAAGTGGGAGTCGGCCAGGCAGAAGAACACAAATACAGAACTGGAATGGAGGAATCTGCGCCGCGAGTTTGCCGCGCGGAAAGCCTTAGCTGCTCATGACTCTTTCAACAACAGGTACCAAGTATACATTATTCTTGTATATATATAATAAATATATATAGAGGGCGTATCTTTGAAGTCTACCGACACAACAAACGTGCAGGATAGATTTTATGTTGAAAAATAAGTAAAGTCTCGGTAAATATGTTCGATTTTTGAGATACACCCTGCAGAATCTATGGGATAGTTGTGAGAAGATACTCGAGACTGTGAGAACTCGAAAGTACTTGTACAATTGAACGAATACAAAATTAGTTCTATCGAGAGTTTCGATATTTCGAATCTGGAGATAGAGTTCGAAAATTCTCGGATGCCTGAAATATCATCAAATATTGCTAGCTCTATCAAACAATGTTCGCTAATTACTGACCGTTCCATATGCAGCGCTGAAAGCGGTTTCAGCGACGAGAGAGGCGATGATACCGACGAAGAAGAAGAGGCGGTCGAAGGAAGGATCAGACATGGTCCACGTAGACGAACACGAAAGGTTCGTCATATTCGAAGTCGGCCACGCCAATCTCAGTTAACCGTCTATTAATAAAAAAAATTCTCCCAACATAGGAGAGTCCCAGAGCGCCGACGCCGGACACAGAATCCGAGCAGCCGACGGACACCGAGCTATCCGAGTCGAAGACTGGTTCTTCGGTGACTTTGGAACAACGCACGCCCACGCCGGAGACGGAAGCGGAGCTAGACGAGATAGAAGTCACGGATGTCGACTCGGAAGCTGCGAACGCAGCAGAGGTAGTTAGCGTCACGACGAAGTCGTGACAGATTGGCCTTGATTAAAATCTCAAACGCATCAATGATGATGCGTTTTAATACACACGACAAAATGCTATCGAGTTGACAAGATTGTTCAACAGCGCTGTGATTCGAATCAAATGTCCTCTCGATTCAATAACGATATCATCGAAATTAATATTTCACATACATTGTTTTAATAACTCGAATATCAATCTCAATAATAGCGCTTTTGATTCGAGAGAGGATTCAAGCGTTCAATTACAGCGTTGTTGAATAAATTTACAGAGATTCGATAATATTTTTCTTCCTTTAGGTTCTGTGTGTTTAATTAAGCATTAAGAGTAGAGGAAGTGGCAGACATTTTAAAGACAGTAAATTGAATCTAACTGGACAGACTAACATCTTTGCCACTTCTACCACTCTCGATTGATTCGTCCAATTTCAAACAGCCCATCGCGGGAAGCACGCAAGAGATTTTGAATCCTTTGGACCAGGCGCTCACGAACGTGATCGAGAATCTTATCATAATCGACGACGAGGAATCGAGCAAGAACGATTCGCAGGAGGATTCGACGGTTTCCGAAACTTCGCGCAGCGATCTCGCGTTGGAAAACGGCTACAACCAAAGCGACGACGCGGTTGCCGATCGCGCGACAGCCTCGAAGACGAACGTCCGCGATAAAAATCCACCTGCCTGGACCCCGAGCGTCGAGTCTTGGAGTTCGTTAGCAGCCCCAAAGGCACTGACGTCCACGAGTAACGACCTGTCCTCTGCCGAGCCGTCGTCTATCGGCTCGTCGGCGAGGCGACGCGACGACGACGATGACGACGTCGACGACGGTGAGATAACAAAATCAGAAAACACTTCGCCATCACCGTCTGTCTGTCACATACCCACCACGACCACTGTGAACACCAGCGACGCGATGCCTGTTTTCTCCATTGGGCCCTTTCCCGCATCCACCGTGTCGTCCATAAAGAGTGTGCAGTTCAGCAACCCCTTGATCGTGGGTCCGTCTAATCGTCTCTTTGCCCCAGTGTTCGGCGCGGCCACGGCAGAATTGGACAATTCGACGGCCAACTTCACCGCCGCCGCCGTGTCGATCGATCGATCCGACTGCTCGAGTCAGAGCGAGGGCGACTCGACGGAGGGCAAAGAGCAGCGAGCCTGCAAGCTTACGGAGAACGTCACGGATTCCGACAGTGTTTCCGTAGATTCTTCATCGAGTCTGGACACTGTTAGGGAATTTCCTACGACTGACCGCGCTTCTGCGTCCTCCTCGTCCACCTTGCCGGTCAAGGAAGAGCCGGTCAAGGAAGACCCGTCGAGCTCGCGGCTAGAAGCTGCGGCCATCTCGACTAAAGCTCGAATGCCGGAGGAGGTGTTGGCGGCGCGGGCCGATCGACTGAAGCGTCTGGAGGAGCAAGCCGATTGGCTGGTGAAGAAAATGAACGCTACGAGCAGACGAGGCTCCGCTCTCTGCACCAGACTGGAGGAACTTCACGACGTGTACGGTGAACCGCCGATCCCGCCGCCCATGCCGGACGTTTTGCCCAGCCGCAGGCTACCGTCCAGCCTGCCCGATCTACCTCGTCAGGTGAGAGGAGTGTAATTAGGAGAGAGAGGATTTTGACGATGGAAGGTCCTCAGCTCGTCTTTTGCTCTTCTTGCTTACATTTTTTTCTCGGAGGTTTAATTGAGATCGCTCGGGAACTTTTACACGTTGATTCAATTTAACGTTCTTGCAAGGTCTCTCAAATATTTTCCTCCGCTTCATCGCTAGACCGTTCGATCGCTTGTCTTTGTTCATTCACGAACAACTTGGACAGTATTATTGACCTTTATCATGTCTGCTTCAAAACTGCCATTTTGAAGATTGGAGCTTTTCTTCATATTTTATTTTCGTCTCATATTTGTATTTTTGCTTTGTTTCTTTTTGTTCTTGGTTGTCTTTTGTTGCTTTTGTTGAAAACAATTTGTTCTCTTGCTGCGTTCTTATAAATGGTTCTTTGTTGTTCTCCTTTTTTTTTATTATAATTGATGTATTACGCATAATAGAAGGCTTCCGTTAATAAGGGTAATAAGTAAGTAATCAATCTGGAAACCGTGGCGGATCATCGGATCTTTCATTCCCGATCTTGCTTGTAGGTTGCGGAATCATCATCCGCCGGCGGAACTCAAGCCACCGAAGACAAGAACAAGGAGTCTGCGGGAGACGAGACGTCATCGCCGAGCGCGAACGCGCCGTGACGCGCTCGCAGTTGTTCACTTGGCGAGGATTACTATTTTAGTCAATGTTTCGTTTCACAGTCGGAGAAGCGGAGCTGAGAAATGCCGCGCGCACGAGACACGTGAGGGACGCGGGTCCATGTTCGTCTCGCGAAACGCGCGTGTCTCTTTGTTTTTCTCTCTTGCTCACGCGTTCGACGTCACTCACCGTAATATCGATGCAATTACGCGCATCGCACGCGATCCCGTGTATTGTCCTTCTTTCTCAATGTATTCTTCGACCTTGACTTCAACGTTGGAGAACTTGTCATTGAAGTTAAAGAAAAAAGAAGAAAGCGGGTTTCCGCGTTCTCTGTCAGCGACATGTGCGAAACGATCTTTTCTCATTATTCCTCGTGGGGATTCATGTGATCAACCGTTCCTGTTTTGTACCTCATACATGTAATTGAATAAAAAGAAATACTCGAAAGAAAGACGTGTAGTTTTTATTTTGCAGTCGATCGTCGTACGTTTGGGGACAAACGATGGACGCTCAACGGCGGGCCTCTGAGGACTTTTTATCTTCAGGTAGTACGCGATACTTGTTTAACGATAAATCAAAAGGCCTGTTTGGCTCTTCAAGTAGTTGAAGGCTCACCACTCGAAGGAATAATTACATTGGGTTTTATATCTCATATAAAAAAATGTTGGTTGTGAGGAGGATGTCTTCCGGCGGAATTGCGATTGCAGTTTCGACATGCGATTCATTCTCGGAATAATGAATGATTTTCGTCAGGGGTGCAAACAGTTCTGCGAGATTCAATTCGGACATTTTTATTCGGACACGCTATCGTGTGTGCTCCATGTCTTATCATATCTTATAGTAGTATCTATACGGTAGAGATATGTATAATATTCACAGGTTCCATCGCAAAAAATTGCAGCTTTATAAAATTCATTACAAAAGTCGTTCTCGCGTAACAATGAGAAAACAGATTCGCTTGTTCAGCACGTCGTTGCCTGCAGACAATCACTACAAAGGCACTTGAAAAAATACTTGCAGTACAGTACGTCGACCGATCTCGCGAATCGGCCGCGAGATAGTGCGTGTGTGTTGCAGTACTTATTGTCTTAAGTCTCTTTACAAAAGTAACCGCTACGAAAGACACTCGATGTAGAAACGTACACACATACACACGCACAGATACGACACACACACACACACACACACGTACACACACGCGTACGCGTACACAATTACGTCTGTCCTGTTGCGCAAAAACTATCTGTTACTTTTATCTACACGCTTCTACTTGTATCGGGCTTTCAACCAAGTTCCGCGAGTTCTTCCGCGGAAAAGTATTTATTCGAGTGAATTCGGCCGCAACAATTCTTTTCCGAATAATCGCCAGCAATCTTCTGCCATTTCTCAAAAAATGGGAGTTGGATTCCACAGCGATAGAACAATGGCTCCTCGGAGCGAGAGAAGTTAGCCACCGACCCGATCGCTCACTTCGTCAGCATTTCGAAAACGCTGGCCTTTAAGGCCGCATTGAACGTATGGAACGAAACGAGTGATGGTCCGCGCAGATCAAACACGCGGAACTTGGTCGAAAACCTGATACATTGATTGATTTTCTTCGGGCTTTCTTATCGAGATCCATCCGAGATACATCCTGCGTTTCCCCATTTTCGCTCGGTTCTGTCCCCTGCCCCCCTCCTTCTGTTTTTTTATCACAGTGTACGCCGGTACACTACTCATTGTCGAGCTTGGCTACGATAAGAAGACAGTGTATTGCTATATTGGCACACTTGGTGTATAATGAGACCGATGTACAAAAAATATACTATGTGTCAAAGTTGTAATATATCTACAATAATTTAAAGTACAGAGTTCTCTCAAAAATAATCAGCGCCCGCGTCGCGCGAGCGCTGCGATCTGTTAATCGTATGAGACGCATGTATAATCTATTATAAAAGGGAAAGAGAAAGAAAGACGCGGCGTGCTCGTTGCATTTTGTTCCACCGAGATGGCGCCGCAGCACCTTTCCGTCCCTTAACGGCTAAATCCTAAGAGTTACTACGAGTCGAATCTCCGAGGTACTTAATGTTGTAAGTTGATATTTTTCAGGATAATAACTTAAGTCAGTGGCACTCTCTGTCCGAGATACGCGCTATTCGCAATCAAGGCACTTTGTATCATCTCGTGTATCGTGACTGTACAGGCTTAATTCGTGCAATTCTACACAGACGTAAACGAATTATCGTAATCAGATTTTCTTTTTTTCTTCGAAATCGTCGTCCCGGTAGCGTAGACAGAATTTTAAACGGCTTCTGCGCACAAGAGGATCAAGTCGTAACACTTTCTCTTTTCAATGAATCTAAATACAAATTCTGTGTCTCTCTCAGTTCTTAATAACAATTTTTGTAATGTAATTTTTATTGCAATTCTTCTCTTTTGATTCTTAACAAGAATATGAAATCTTTTCTTTACAAATACTTTTACTTATAAAAGCGTAGCCAACGGCATCAACGGCAATCGCTATAACGACGGAACTATAAAGTTGGGAGCGGGATGCGTAGAATTGTTATCCCTCATGAGGAGGGGAATCTCCATTTTCAGCGACACATCCGCGGAGAATAACTTAATCCTCTTGCAAGCCACTCGAGTTCGTCTACTCTTCGGCGCCGAGCGGATCGCCATGACCGCGTCCAAGTCGAAAGTGAATGTTTCATCTTGTGAACAACGATACCCGTTATATCACACTACATAAACTCCTTTCCCGCTGTTTCAGGCTTCATCAAGGCTTCATATCTTCGTGTGGCTTTCGTGAAACGTGGATTCGGTGCCGAATGTATGAGAACTCGCGTTGCCGGCGACAACGTCGAGCGGTGACGAGCTTCGCTACGCCGACGAATGACAGGAGCAAGCTTCCGCTGGTGCTTTTCATCACGTACAGGTATGTAATGGTCATTGAATCATCTGCAAGTACCTGTTCTCGTGCTGCAAAGAGCTGAGCGAGGACGTCATGTCGTTGACGATCATATTGGCGCTAGCCGGGAGCGGCTGCGGCAACGACATCGGGTGTGTCGAGCTGGACACGTTGGTCTCGTGCGTTTGCGAGCTGCCGGACCAGTTCCTGCACTGCTGGACATACTCCAGCGTCCTGCGGTAAGAATCTTGTCGCATACCTTGCGGCAGCTTGATCGTCGGGCCCTGCTGCGACTGGCTGATGTCCCTGCACTGTATCTCCGGCAACGGGCCACCATGTTGATCGTGATAGCACTGGTTGCCGTACGCCCATTGGCAATTGCAACTGTACTGCTGATGAGTCGGGGGGTTCGTGCGCGCCTGACAATTGTGCGTGCAGGTCTGCTGTTGCTGCTGTTGCTGCTGCTGCTGCTGCTGCTGCTGTGGCTGTGGCTGTGGCTGCAGCTGCGGCTGTGCTGGATGCTGTTGTTGTTGCTGTATTCTGCAGTTGCTGGTCTGTTGAGCGTTGCAAAGTTGCGGCGACGTTCTCTTGGACGCACCACTGTCGTTGACCGCGTGATGCGCGCCGTTCGGGTGGGTGCAATTGCCGATTTGCAGGCACGGCGACGCTTGGGCCTGCTGTTGGCAGTTCTGAAGACTCGTCATGGCGTTCATCGGCTTGGCCTGTTGGTTCACGAGGTTCATCTGGGAACAATGCGGCGACATCGGGCCGCACTGGTTCGTCACCGATGGTTGTTGGGCCGAGTGTACATTGGGTATCTGACCGTTGGACGTCACCATGGGTCTCGTGCATTGACCGGACTGGCTGCATTGTGAGTTTGGATGGGTCAAGTTCGGTGGATTAGCCATGGGCGCGGACGGCTGCGCGCAATGCGGCGACAGTTGCTGGCAATTGGTCGTTAGCCTCATCTGCACGGCGTGATTAGACGGCGCGCAGGTCTGGCTGGAATGATGGTTGGCTTGACCGGTGGTATTGCCGGTGCAATTCGCACTCATCTGACCAGCGCAGCCGTAAGTCGGGTAGTAAGCGTGATGCGCGTGGTTCTGCGGGCAGTTCCTGGAGAGCTGAGCCGAGTTCTGCGGCAGGTTTTGCGGCGCATGTTGCGGAGCCAAGGCGCCCGCCGCAGGAGACGTCAGTGGCTGATCGCTCAAGTGAGCTGGACCGTAGTTAGAACTCGGCGACATTACCTGGCCGGAGGCAGGGCTCGCTGGCACGTGGCCGCCGCCGATCACTTGGGAGCCGTAATTCGGCGGTGGACAGTATTGCGACGGTGGCTGAGTCGCGCGTGAATTCGGACATTGGCCATAGGGCGAGGAGACGGGATTCTGATAGCAGGGTTGCTGAGCAGCCTGCTGGGCCTGCGGGTAGCAGTTCTGCTGGTGTGGCTGATGGGGTTGGTTGTAATTGCACGTGGGCTGCATCTGACGCTGGTAGTGCAGGGAATTCGTGCATATCGGCGATTGGCAGATGGGCAGAGGGCTGCCGCGATAGCTCACTTGACTCCCACCAGCCTGAACCTGTAACGTGGCAATGACGATTTTGGGCTTAAAGAGTTGTCTCTCGCGGTTACCACGTTCATTGCGAGATGTCGTCAAGGATCGAGCGTTATTATGTCCCAGGGTCTCATTCACTTATGTATAACGATTAATGAAGGTCCTCTTCCACGGAAGAAATACGTCGGGTCAAAGAATATCACCTGATTCAAGTACTGCATCATCTCGTCGGGAATGACCAGCTTGTTCTCCACCATTTCGCCCTCGCCCACCTCGTCCAGGATCACCTCCTGATTGGGATGAAGTTCAGGCAATTGCGCCGACCTCGGTCTGGGCGGTATTGGAGGAGAGGTCCGTTGGGTCTGATTGGTGCGAGTAGGCTCCGACATTCGTCGGTCGCCCGATGGTTGGGTGCAATGGCCGCTAGGGTTGCTCCAGTCGCCTGGCATCGCCTGAATACTCTGCGTACGCAAGTTGTGCCATTGAAGTCGAGAATTGATTTTTCACAATTGTACGTTCCTTCGCAACCGTCGCTCTAGGACTCACCTGAAGGGACATGTTCTGAGTCTGGACGACGAGGTTGCTCGTCGAGTAAGGTCCTTGGAGGTGACTCGGCGGATTCATCCTGCCGGAAGTGGTGCTCATCTGGCTGCTTCTTCTGGACGTGCCAGCGCTGATCGGGTCGTAGAAACTGCCGGGTCCCGCTGGGCCCATCCTGACGGCGCTGACGCCGCTCGCCTGGCTGCTTCGCCTGCTGCCGAAATCCATGGATCTCATGCTGCCGTAGGAAGTGCTCTCGGTGCTGTTGCTGTCCCGTCGCGGCTCGCTGAGCGGCTGCAATCTCAGCTGCAGGTCCGACAGACTCGTCTGCCGCGTCTGACCGCCACCGCCTCCGCCACCACCTTCCATTTTCAGATCGGTGATCCTCCTGTTGAGGTCGCCGATGTTGCCTTGGGGTGTGACGCCACGCACACCCCGCACGTTCCCTACGCCGATAGGCAGGCTTGACACGCCCTTGGCGTTCAGCCGACCTTTCAGACGGTTCCTAGATGTCGGTGGCGGTGCTTGTTGTTGCTGCTGCGACTCCATCCCGCCAACCTGAGAAGACAGGTCGCTAGGTGTAAGTTTACGTGAGAGTTCAGATCGGAGGTTCACAACATAATTCGTTAGAAATAAGAACAAGGAGACTCTGAAAGAGGCACGTGGATAGATGATAAGTGGGTGTAAACCTATTTATAGAGTACTAAAATAAATAACCCGACCCGAGCGAGATCATCTTGCCACGTGATTGAGCGTTCCTACGACGGGACTTACAATTGCACGTAGAGCTACCGGAAGAACGGCGATGTCCAGGTCGTCGGGCTCCTCGTTCCACGGTTCCTCAGCGAGAGCCACTCCGTCGCCGGTGAGAGCGCCGACTCCGGCGACTTCGTCGTTGCAACCACCTACCAGTGGGCTACCCTGCTGCTGCATCATGCTGGGTGGACTGTTGGCTTCGCTCTCCGACTTGACGCTGGGACTCGACAGACTCGGCGTCTTCGGATGGAGGTCCTCGCTTCTGCTGGGACTGTGGCCACCTGCGCCGGCCTCGTCGCTGCCGCCTCCGTCACCGCCGCCCCCGCCGCCGCCCTTGTGCTTCTTGTTCGCGTAGAATTCCGCCCCGTGGACGGTCTTCACGTGTTTCCTCAGGGACGATGGGTCCGTGTACCTCTTGGTGCAGCCGGGAGCTTTGCACACGTACGGTTTCTGCGGGCCGAGGGAGGCATTTTCGTCGTTGCAACAAACGGTGACTTTGATTGAAGCTTTTGCCGAATAATAATTGTGCTTCATTCAATGCGGAAAGAAAGGAACGTTCCCCAGAGTATTGATCGCTGATCGGGAAGGGCAATATCGACGAAACGATGATTGGTTTGGAGCTTTAGGATCAAAATCGCGCTTAATTCGATACGGACAAAGAGACATTCCGAGAGGGTCGGTTTTTGCTTCATGGAATGGAAGGCAATGCTGATTAGACGACGATTAACAAAACCTCCGATTAATAATCATGTTTAATTCGATACGAAGGACACGGGAACGATCACTGGCCCGTGGAACAGGAGGGAATGTCGATCAAACGATGATTGATAAAACTTTCAACTATTAATCATGTTTAATTCAATACGAAAAGAAAGAGACATTCTCCAGAACCGGTTACTGGCCCATGCAACGGAAGGCAATGCCAATCAAACGATGATTAATAAAACTTTCAACTAATAATCACGCTTGGATCGGATCTGGAAGGAAACATTCTCGGACAGAATCGATTCGCTGGCCCGCGAAACGGAAAACGATGCCGATGAAATGACGACTGATAAAGCTTTTGCATAATAATCGTGCTTAATTCGCTGAGAGAAAGAAACACTCTTCGAGAATCGGTCCGTGAAAAGGAAGAGGAAATGTCGATCAAACGACGATTGATAAAGAACTTTCAGCTATAATAATCATGTTTACAGCTTGAAAAAAGTAACATTCTCAGAGAATCAGTTGCTGATCCGTCCAAGTATTATCCAGCATATTCGTACGCGTCTTATCTCACGCCTGATCCAATTAAGGAGGGTTTCTCATTCGCGGGCTCAAAAAATCGATCTTTTTAAATTTTTTATTTGTATTCCTACTTGTGTGTGGAATACCCCTGTGAAAGGATTTTCTGAAATTCATGGTTTTAACGGAGCTACGAGCTGAAATACGTTAGCGCGCACGGCCGTTGTTTAAGTATATCTAAACTTTCGAACGCATTTTTCTCGAAACTATGATTTTCGACCTTACGGAACTGATAACTAAAAAACTAATAGAGATAGCCACTTTTTTTTTGTTCCACTTGTTCCTAATACTTTTGCGCTAGGAATAGACTAAAGATTTTATAACAAAAATTCGATTGTTTATAAGTAAAAGTATACAGAAATTTATTCCGAAAAAACGAATTGCTTTTTGGAATTGACGCCATTTTTATAAATTTCATTCAATTAACTTCGTTCTACTCTATTTCTCTATTCCTAGATATTACTCATCTAGATCTATTACTCATCTAGATAATGAAAATTGGTTGTTCTTTTAATATCAGATAATATTTAGGAGCTGCATCACTTCCGTAGCAAGAGCGTGCTTTTTTGGTGGATCTGATTTCGGGCGCCATTTTCTATAATAAATACGTATATATATATTTTTTTTTAATAAAAACTATATTTCTGCAGTACAACAGTTGTATAAATATATGCAAATACCCGTATCTTTCTATATATAATAGTTTTCTAAAAAGAAATTCACAAATTTGATCATTTTTTCATCCCGCGAATGAGAAACCCCCCTTAAAATGCTCTTCCCTTTATCGTGTTGCAGGCGAAGCGAGACAAAGCTTACCTCGTTGGAGTGCGTCCTGTTCTGATGCTTCGCTCTGTCGCTGGCGTTGCTGAAGGCCTTGCTGCAACCCGGGTACTCGCAAGTATACGGTTTCTCACCGGTGTGGGACCTGAGGTGAGTCTTCAGATTCTCCAGGCGCGAGTAAGCCTTGAAGCAGCCCTCAAACTGCTCCCGAACAAGAGAGAGAAAGAAAGAGAGAGAGAGAGAGAGAGAGAGAGAGAGAGAGAGAGAGAGAGAGAGAGAGAGAGAGAGAGAGAGAGACTGATTAATCGTGCAACACGCGTTGAATCATTCGCATAAGAATCCGCTCGCGGGTCGCGGCTTGAACGAAACGCGCGGCCGTATCTGCACGACGTAATCTGAATGGCGGCGCTTGTGCGATTTTTTTCAAAGTCGCTTCGCTCGCACGCATGTACGTCAGCACGCGACGGACTGTATCGCGCATTAATTAACACGTAGAAAAAGCAGTCGAACGGGAGAAACGAATGGAGTGTGCTTACGGTACACTTGTGAGGTTTTTCCCCGGTGTGCCTTCTCATGTGCACGACCAGCATGTACTGAGCCTTGAAGGGTTTTTCCTCCCTCGAGCATTCCTCCCAACCGCAGACAAAGCTCTTCTTGTTGGCGTGTATGTGATCGTTGTTGATGTGCTTCACAAGATCGTCCTGGTTTGGAGATACGTGGATTAAGAACGAGATGTGGATAAACCGGAGCTTATGTTGTTCGACTCGCGCCTCCCCCCCCCCCCCCGCGCGTTTTCGAGAGATTCCGCGCACGATACTCTCTTCGGGTACATCGCGCTCTTGTACAACATTTCGAAATCTCTCCAACTTTTGGAGAGAAGAAGAAAAAGACACAATATTGTCCTTGGACTTTAACGCCACGTAACGACTGCCACGCTAATTTCCGCCGATTGGTTGAACGCTCGACTCGAGTAGGGTTACAGCAGAAAAATTGTCAATAGACGCAGACATCTTGGGTGAGACTTCGTCGAAAAAGCTCGGCCCGTGCATTGTTGACTAATTTCCTTTCGCTAACATTTCCATAATGATGATAATTTGCGAAAGGATTTTTCCACTCGGTTTTACGAGTTTTACCTACAAACGTGCGGCCGGACATCCTGTACGTTTCGTTCGTACGTTACGCAGTTGATTACATTTTATGCGTAAATCAGCCAGTAAATTAGTGAGTGAAAACGTGTGAGCGATCGTAGAAACGAGAAGGACTCATCTGTAGCACTTGCCTGTGTGGGGAACTCGAGACCACAGTCCCTCCAGTGACAATTCGTCTCGATGAAATCGCCAGGCTCGTCTCGGAGGTCCTCGCTCGGGCTGAGACCTTGAGGATGAGTCGGTGGAGCGGTAGTCGTGGTCGCGTTGGTGGTCGTCGTCGCCGGTTCTCTTTTCACTTTGGTGGAGGCCCGTCTCGAAGAGGTGTCGGCTTCGGCCGTCACCGAGCGGGTCGACGATTCCGACGCTTTCCTACACGATTCCGCGCTCTGTGTGCACATAAAGAACATCTCCAGTGAATACCAGCCTTCACATTCTAAGCGTAATACATTCTTCGTGAGCTGGGCTAACGATTTTGCTTTAGCAGTCAGTTTCTCCAGCAGTGAGACCTCAGAACAAGCGAGCTTGAAGTCTCCAAGGAGTGAACGAGCGGATTTCGTTCCATACGAGCGAATGTACCAATCGGTAGGAAGTGGAATTGACGTTCCGTGACGGTGGAACACGTCGGATTCAATTTTAAATGTCGAGCGCAGATATTTGCTTGATAATGTAGAAGTCACTCTATGCGAGTGGGCGGTCACTCGAAATCAAGTCACCCCGACTGTCGCTTTACCTTTTCAGTGGGCCTTAACTCGGAACGAATGTTTCTTCGTAAGAATAAATAAACCCACTCGCGACTGGAGCAACGTCAACATCGCAAAGTGCCTTCCCGACAGGCGAAGGGAGTTCTCGAGAACTTTGTAGCGGTGGCCGGTGGCTTATTAATTGCAACAATCGTATCGGTTCATCGCGGAATTCTCGATTTCCATCGCGTGACACATGCGATCCCGCAATTATCGCGCAGCGTGCGTACCAATTCGATCGACTGTCGCGGACAGTCGTAAAGTACACACACTATTACTTTCTTTTTCTCTCTCTCTCTCTCTCTCTCTCTCTCTCTCTCTCTCGCTGCGCTTTTATCTGTATCTCCTGACTATCTTCTCTCCCCTCGCGCGATGCCGTGTACTCTGATATAGACATAACTCCAAATACCTGTTCGCGCGCACGTGCACGCAGGTTTCTCCGTGCTGTTGTCGGCGCGTCGCGATTTACCGGCGACGTACAGGTTGACGGGCGATAAGAGCGCGCGCGCGCGGGTTCTCGAGTATCGTTTGATTTACTCCAAACTGGGAGCGGGGAAAGCAGAAACGAGCGAGAGAGAAATGTAGATCGTCGCCGGGTTTTTGCCGCCCGACTGTTTCGAGTCGAAATTTTCGTCCTATGCCCTTTTAACGCCAACTCTCGACACCCTGAAGTCTGCGTCGACCTCTACCGATTTTATTCGAGCCACCGAGTTGTACCGAGAGGACCTCTTGAAAATCTACAAGCAGCAGACCTTGCTTTCCGCCACTTGGAGGCGCTGAGTAAGTAGGCGTTCAATTTCCGTGTGAAGGAGATCTCTGTCGGCCTCCTCTTGAGCCTGCGGACGGTTCAAGTCGAAAATGAGGGATTTCGACTGGAGACAGCACGGCTTCCTCTTCCCCACCCCTACCCTCGCGTTACCATTTGCCCGCGCAACAGATTTGCCCGAGCAGAAATTCCGGTTTCGGCCCGCTTAATTAGCGCGCGGGCTAAAAGTGACGCGCACGAAAGTGCGCGCAGCGCGCGCGTGTACCGTGATAAATTTTGTAATCAACAACGACGTGTCCCCCCGAGTAGAAGCCCCGACGAATAATTCCGCGCCGCGTGCGAACGCGCGCGACAACCTTGACGTCTCGCCGAGAGAAGGAGAATCCCGGGACACTTCTCGCGAACGCGCGCGGCGCGTTACCACGAGACACGAGCACGACGACAAGCGGCGAGAGGCTGAGAGACCGAGAGAGAGAGAAGAGAGAGAAGAGAGAGAGAGAGAGAGAGAGAGAGAGAGAGAAAGAGCGAAATGCAAGTCGATGCAAATCATGCCGGCTGAACTTTACAGTGTGCGGACACACGATCGCAGAGGCGGTGTCGCGGGATAGAAAATGAAAACGCCGCGCGCGCGGAAGCAAATAAATCAGAGCGGCTTGTCGCGACGATGGCGGTGCGCGACGACGACGACGACGACGACGACGACGACGACGAGGAGGAGAGAAGCAAGAGGAGGAGGAGGTCTGGAAGAGCGAAGACGAGGAAGCGATGGCCAGGGTAAAAGAAGGAAGAAGGATCGCCGGTCGTTTGGGTGGCTGAACTGAGGGGGTGCGGGAGGGAGGGAGGAATAAAGACGCGTGGGTGGAAAGAGGAGGGACGGCGGAGGGGGCCCGACGGAATCGGGCGAAATAATGTGCGCGAGATTGCTTGTAACCCGAGGACCCTCTCCCGCGAGAGTAACCCAATCTCTCCCTCCGTGCGCCCCTCATCCCCTTGTCTTCGCCGTCGCAGCGGCGTTACGCCGGTGCGGTTGGACCGAGCGAAGGTGGTGCGTGGAAAAGAAGGACCCTCGCGCGAGGGCTGCGAGAGTCGCGCGAGGCTACGATTATTTATTCTCAGTGAATCGATGACGGGCCACCGGGCGTATATCGTTCTCCCGGCCAGCAATAACGATCAAATGGCAACTGCCGTGCCGCGCGCGCGCGCGCGTGTATCGCGATACAACTCGCCGTCTCGCTGCATCTCTCGGGATAATCGGCCGCGATTGCGAGCCTCGCGTAGCATCGCGTCGCGCGCTGAAACGCGAGGACTTAATCGCGCGAGTGTAGCACGGTTCGCCGTTCGCAACCGCCGGTGTCCAATGGATCGGTCGCGCCATGTTCCGCCGGTCAGCACATGGCGACGTCACAGTTATTACGTAGGAAGGCCAAGTGGAAGAGGAATCAAACGACTCGCGGGAGCTATCAGAGATGAACTGTTTCACCTCCTCTCTTTCAGGCAGCCAGACTCGGAATTTTCGCCCCACTTTCCACGCGAACTGCCTGACATCTCTCTAGAGGTTCTAGAGGGCTGATGGAGACTTAACTTAATAGAAGCTAAAGCCTCCTATTGAGGATTTTTTTAAAAGACAGAGAACGCACAATCTATCGTCTCTAAGAAAATTTTTTTGGCAAAAGTGTAGGTTGAATAAAATCAAATTAGGTTGATACAAGTCTTAGAGTGAGGGATTGGCGTTAAAGGACAATTCCTGCCACTAGTCAATAATGTTCTTGCTGCTGTGACAAACTGTCTTTGTTATCGTGATTCATATTTTAACTGTTTATTGAATCAAGTTCTGCGCTACTCGTTATCGGTTTAAATTCACTTGTGGATGTGGAGACCGAGGAGACCGTCGGAAAACTCAAGGACATGTTGCGCGCTCGTCAAGTCCCCCGTCTTCTCTCCTCTGGTCTTTCTCTCACTTACCTCGCTTTTCGGCGGCACTCCGGCTCCGTGAGGGCCGAGGGTCGCCGACGATGTGGAATGATTCGGCACACCGGGGTACAGTTGCGAGTGCGGCGACAATCCGTGAACGTGCGGCTGGGAATGGGGGTGCGGCGGCGGCGGGGGTACGGGCGACTGCAGGGAGTGCGTGTGAGGTAAGAGTGCCGCCGCGGCTGCGCTCCTCAAAAGTTGGACCTGTAGCTGCTGCAGGTGCGGCGCCATGCCGGGATGCATGCCTAAGGCCGGGCTCATTGCTGCAACGTACGTATCAATTAGCCTCGGAATTTTCGCCGCCCGTTCTCCGCAGGTCTTCGTTCTCGTGCGCGACGCGCCTCTCGTAATCGTAGCGTTTAAAGCGTGAGGAGACTAACTTTAAGACGACGACTCGAACGTGAAAAATAGGCCTACGATTCCGTTTCAGCGTGACTGAATTCCCGTCGAACTGGAAAGAACACGAGCCAAACTTGTAAAAAGTTGTAAAAACGAAAAAGTTCTCGCAGCGGGTTCCTAATCGGTCAATTGTTTTCGGTCTTCTCGAAGATAAAATTCACCATTGAGAAAAAAGAACAACTTAAAAGACGATGTTTCGAAACTTCCATGAAAAACGTCTCACGCGTTTTCCAACTTTAGATCGGCCACATTACATCCGCCGTCTTGAGTTTGGAACTTTATCACTTGGTAGATCCTTTGAGTGCTCAATTCTACGTAGGCAGTCTGAAAAGCTCTCGACCTGACACATACATGGCATTAGAAACTGTCAAACTATAATTGTATTGGAAAGTGGCATCCCTGATATGAACCCATGTAAAATTTTATTCGATCTGTCAAATCATTCGAGTAGTAGCACCAGTTGAAAAAGCTTTGTGCAAGATGGGTGCCGCATTATTCGCTTGACAATTGACCAAAAACGCATTCGAATGCGTATTTCTCAAGCGTGTTTGGCGCGTTTTAAGCAAAATAAAACGGATTTCAAGCGTCGTTTCATAACTGTTGACGAAACTTGGACCCACCACTATACACCAGAGCGAAAAGAAGAACCTTCCGGAATCACACTTTAACGAATTATTGGAAAAACGTTGCAATAAATGTATTGAAGTTTCAGGAGATTGAAAAATAAAACATATTTCACGGCAAAAAAAAATTTTCTTTCATTGTTAGGCCGAGAACTTAACAGACTGCCCTCGTAGAAATACTCAGCTACCAGAGATGTCAAAACGCGGTATCGCGTTTCCGCCAATCAAGACAGAAGTTGACGGACTCGTCGAGGAAAACGATTGAAATGGTCGCACGATGACGCACTGCCGCTAATCGAGACACACTCGCCCCAAGGACGAAATAGCAAATTCGATTGTAGGAACGGAGGATTGTAGGATTCCTCTTAGAGAGAGGGTCCTTTACCAGCCACTTGCATTCAGCTATCTCAACCGAGCCATCCGTCTGGGAGGCTCCGCTGTTCTTCCCAAGCCACGGAAAATTCAGTCACGCTAACGGACCCACGCTGTTTTCCCCCGCGTGCGTGACGTCCCGTGCGCGCGTTCAAAGGGCTACTTGTGTATGCACGAATATTCAGCAGCCGATAAGGATCCTGCGGCTGGCGATCGCGCGGCGCGACGCGGCGCGGCGCGGCGCGGCGCGGCGCGGCGGATAATCGAATAAACATCGAAATCGGACCGCGTGTCCGCTTCCTCCTCGACAGTCCGGGCACGACACGCCGGACTTCCGGCACGTAGGCTGAGCCTGCATTTCAATCGCCAGCCTCTCTGGCGACTGTTACGAAAGCGTAAGGCGCAACCGCGCGTAGGCAGAAGCATTGTGCGCGAGCCTGCGCGCGCGGTGTATGCACGGTAACCCGTAGAGAATCAGCTCGTTTCTTCTCATTGTCAGATGTATCCGGCATCGCGGGAACGTTTTTTCCTGACGCGCCCGTGCTTTATTATTAATGACCTTTGTCAGCCGCGCAAGTCATCTTACGACTCGTTGATATCATTTCCGGAGCACCTCGCGATAGTATGCTCTAGCGAGCTGAGATATATCGTCCCTTCGTACGAATCTCTTCACTTTTAAATAACACGCGAAAGAATCCCCCCCTCCCTCCCCCCCGTTTTTGCCGTTTCGCAATGAAAGTGAGACGCCGGAGAAAGTCGGGAAGAAGCAGCTAAGAAGAGAGAACTAGCGCAAGGTATATAGCGCGCGGGCGGGCCGCAGCGGCCGAAGAGGAAAGCTTCGGGTCGAGTCGAGGCGAGACAAGAACGAAACGGACAGTGGGGAAAGACAGGACAGGACGGACAGGGACAGGTGGGGGTGGCTGGCTGGCTCTTGGTGGCGTACGCGTCCGAGGCAAATTTAACGAGCGACAACATCCTGCGGCTATCCGACGACGGCCGACGCCGACAAACGACCGGCGCGCCACGCCGGCAGAATTTTAATCCGTTAATTACTTCATTTAATCGCAAATTACCGGGCGTTCTGAACTCGTGTGTGAGCAAGGAGAGGTACCCGCCTATATAATGGCTTCATGCGCGCCCGCTGCCTCAATTCGTCGCCTTCGTGTATCGCCTTCGGTCAGCCTTTAATGAGCTCGCGGCGGCCGCGCCGCGAGCTTCTGACATCGCGTGGAATCCTGTCCGCCGTAATTCGCGGCGAATCCTGCGATAACGCGCTCACGCGCTTACGCGCGAGCGTCCTGCGTGGGCAATTGTGGTACTCACCGGCGGAGAGGTGTCCGTAGCTGCCGCTCGCGCTGCTGCTCCGCGAGCCGTTGACGATCGACGTCAGGCTGTTGGGGCTGAAGCGAATCATGTTGTCGATGTCGAACCTGTCCGAGTACGGCGAACTGCTCAGCGCCCTTTTCCGGCTCGCTCGGATCGTCGAGGCTCTCGGGCTGCCTAGTCTCGACGACGCTGAGACTGAAAGTCGAGAGGGAGAAGGCGCGTGCTCGTGAATATTTGCTGATGTTCGGCGCGCTGTACCGAGCGCGGTGGAGCGCGTTTTCATTAAACGGTCGCTTCCTTCCGACGGACGCGGGGTGGCTTTTCTTTTATCCTTTTTGCGGCATTTACCGCTAAGGTGGCAATCAGCTACGTAAGTGGAGGGGTAGCCGCGGCAACGGTGACGGAAGGCGCGCCGAGAAGCTGCAGAAGAGCGCCGACCGGGCGAACGTCGGCCACGCAGCAAGGAGAGGAAGAGATCCCTCCCGGGGGTGAGGGGGAGAGGGTGAGACCGGGGGAGGCCGATCTTGCGGCCTGAGCGTTTTAGCGGCGATTTGCCTGCGACCGCAGCACAACGACGTAATATACAAACCACTTTCTTAAGACCGTGGTGGCGGCTCGCTTGTATGTACCATCGTTGGTTACATGGTGGCGGTTACGCTCTCCCTCGCTCCCTCCCTCTCTCTTTCCTCACCCGACACGACGCCTTTCTCTCTTTTTCTCCTCCTTGGGTTTCTTGCTCTACCTTCACGGGCAATACCCACGGGATTAACCCGCGAGTATTTCCCCTCCCTCTCCTCTCTCTCTCTCTCTCTCTCTCACACACACACTCATTCTCTTCTTTCTTCTCTTTTCTTCATGCACACACACACACACACACACACACATACATATATCCTCTTTCTCTTTCTCTCGTCCCTCCTCCGCTTTCGTACTCCTTTTTCTCCAGCTCGTTCTGTCCACCTTATACCTCTTTCTGTCTCTCTTTCCTCCGCGTCTCCCCCTCGTCTGCCCTTACCCGAGTAGCAACGCGATACACAGAAGACGAGCACGGGAAGAGAGAGCGAGCCTACCCTTCTCCTCGATTTCCACTCGGTTGATCGCTCGTTCGCGCACAACGGGTATAAAGTTACTCGCGGTTGGAGCTCGGCTCTTCTCTTTTTGGCGAGACCCACTCCTCCGCCCGTCGCGCCGAGCCGAGCCGAGCCGAGCCGCGCCGCGCCGCGCCGCACCGCACCGCACCGCGCGTACGGCCCCGCTTTGACTCCTTCATCGGTTATTAATTCGGTCAATGATCAAATTTACAGTGGTCGACCGGCGGCCAGGCGAAAACCAACGACCCGACACCGCCGGCGCCGCCGCCGTGCGGTTTTTCCGCACGATGTGAGACGATCGTGTGTTCAATGAGCGATTCATCGGTTTACGCAGCTCGCTCGCTCTCTCAGCCCACGGCTTTCCGCGGTGTTATATCCGCTAAAGTTGCCGCTTTACCCGCGACGATCGGGCTCCTTCACAAGAAACGTGAAATCGATCGGTAACGGAAATACAGGGAGATTTGCAGGACGAAATACGCGAATCGCTCAGTTTCCTTCGTGATCGCTCGCCTTCGTCAGCGAGGACCAACGACTGGTGCTACCGCGTCGCGTCGCGTCGCGTCGCGTCGCGTCGTGCAATCCTCGCTGAATTTTAATGAATATGCGAGCGGACCCTCGTTCGACGGGCCCCACTCGCCCAGTGCGCGAACAGAAATCGGGGCCCCTGCGAGATCCATCCGAGACTCTGTGGCTCGCAACACGCCCGATAAGTCCCGGCTCTCTGCTCTTCGCTCCCTCGCGTGCGCGGCTCGAACATGGGATTGAGACATGTAAATTGGTGCAATCGTCCACTCCGATCGGCGTGGCTACTTCAATGCTACTACGCGGAGCATGCCGAGGCGCTACAGCGCTTTTCAAGCAGCGTTGCTCGCCGGAGCGCTTCGGCGCCTCGGAGACTAATCGTTTGGACTCGAGCGATTTTCGAGCGCGTCCGTGAATATTTTTAGGTGACCCGAGGTTTCTCGCAGCGAGAACCAGTCGTCTTATTTCGCCGGTGGCTCGCGTGAGAATGGATCTTCGATCCATTTGCTGGGCTCGTCGATTTCAAGATAGTTTCGAGGGAAAACTTTGGTATTCGATATCTTCGTTACATCTTTCGCTAATTACGTTGTCACGATTACTGAACAAACCACCTGTCACACACACACACACACACACACACACACATCCACAACGATCGCGTGTCCAAATCTGGAGAGAAAGAAAGATAGAGCATAATTGATTGGAAGTTTGACTGAAAAAGATTCCTTTTAAGCGCAACTAAGACAAAAAATTAGATTACTACAAAATGCTCAAAAAGCAGTATTGTGTAAAGTTAATGATGTGTACGAAGTATGAGACTGAGATAATCCATCGAGTTGAAGCGAGATACTGAAGACATACTGAAGAGACAAACGGATTGAACCGAGCGGAGTCATGATCCAAGGAGACCACGAGCAGGCCACAATAGCGCGCTCTTTCCTCCAGTAGGAAGTTACAAAAGGCTGCTTGAAATTCTCCTCAAGTTGGCGCATTGCGTAATCTTAGGACGTAGCCCATTCCGCAATCCGCTCGCGCAACACATCTTGAGGAACGTTCCAACACTTCTGCGCGGCTAGCTGGTACTTCCAACAAGTCGAATCCGACGACCGGGGGCTGGGGACGGGGGAAACGAACGAGGGCGGGAGAGGAGATGTGAGACAACCTGTAGGGTAGGGGCGTTAAGGTGTTAATGAGGTCGTGTCGCTCCGAGTCGATTCAATTATGCGGCGGTGGCGGCTAACGAGGCCCCCCCGTTTACCCTTTCGGTCGTCTTTTAGCCTCTCGGCCTTCCAACCGGTCGATCTCCTACCTGCCGGTAGTGCCACTACGGCTACGGCTAGCTTGGCACACATAACTCAGCCGCGCACGTACGCGGCCGCGCGGACTGCGGGACGTTAATAGAGGAATACATGCACGCCCGTGTGTGATCGAGAACGGCCACTTACCATCGATGGGGAACGGGAACTCGGACGACGCTAGGGTGCTGGCAGGGCCTGCCGCGTGCAGGATGTACTCGGGCCCCAAACCACCCAGTCCTGAAATTATGCGGAGGCGCTCGGTTAGCGTCATACTTTGTTTCTTTCTTCCTTCGTTCATTCGTTCGTTCGTTCGTTCGTTTAATCGATCGATCGGTCGATCGATCGATCGATCGATCGATCGAGGAGCCGATTTGACGGACAGATACCGTTCCACTCGAGAGGCAAGTGGAGCGTGTTGCCAGCGCGACGCAGATCACGCGCGACGGATCGAATTCAACGAGCTCTTGTACTTGCGTCGGAGGAGGGAGGGAGGGAGGGAGGGGGGGGGATAGAGCGAGCGAGAAAGAGACTTCCGGCGGAAATGCGGGGCCGCCTTTTACGGCCGCTTCGGCCGCTCGACAGGCTCGACAGGCTCGAGGAAGAGGCGGGGGAGGGAGGCGGAACGCGGGACACGCGTCTTTCCAGCGCACTTCTATATTTGCGTTCTGCCCTGATAGTTACCGTGTAACGAGGCGTTGGGACTGTGCGTGGAGGCCTGGAGCTGATGGTAAATGTGGTCCATGTAGTTGATCCGATAGGCGGGATGCAGGGCCGTATGCTCCGAGAGGGGATGACTTCTGCGCAGGAAGTCTCCGCCGGAAGTCCCGTTGCCGGCGGCACCACTCCCTCCGCCGCCGCTGCCACCCCCACCGCCGCCGCCGCCGCCGCCGCCGCCGCTGCCGCCGCTGCCTCCGCCGCCGCCACCGCCGCCACCGCTGCCGTTACCAACCGCTCCGATCGCGGTCGTGCTGCCGGATAATCTGAAAAGCGCAGAGGAGAAACGGTGAGTGATCGGAGGATTCCTTTGAAGGTGCGACAAGTGACATCTCGCTCAATTATCCCCGATGATATCAGCTAAGATATCAGATAATGATCGCTATTAATTCTCGCTAATAATCGCTATTAACTCTGATATAATTAATCTTCACATTCTCTGTTGGTTAGCTCTAATATAGTGTCTGTTAATTATCTGTTAGAACAGTGTCTATTACGCGGTGGATACGGGTGGCAATAATCTGCTCGTAATGAGGAAGTACGAGCTGTTGAGCGATAACGCGAAAGATAACGCGCCGACAGAGCCGCGGCGACAGTCACGGCGAAAACCACGCTCGAGCAACCCTCCCCTCGTCGTCGTCGTCATCGTCGTAACATGGGTCCCATTAACGAAACGTATTTCTGGTAAGACGTTTATGATTTACAACGAAGAGAGGGCTACGAAGAAAAGCATTCTCGTTTGACGGATGAAATTACGACACGCTTCGTGTGCGCGACAAATGGCGCGTGTCTCTTCGTCAAAGCTCCTATTCGCGTCGCTTCTTGACGCGGACAGGTGTCTCCCATCAATGGCGCGGTCGTATGATCAAAGTGTAACTTCGTACGCTGGATAGGATAATCGCGTTTTTGTTTGTCGTCCCCTACCGACGTCACAATGCGCGCACTCGTTCCTTCGGGGAAAAGAACTCCGGCGGAGGAGAGGAGAAAGGCGAACGGCGCCGAGAAAGAGAGAGAGAGAGAGAGAGAGGAGCGGTACGTCTCTCGTTTTGAATGATGGCAATTCGCCACGCTCGGAACATCTAGAAACGATGCGTGTCCGGTGTCTTCAAAGATGTCCTCTTCCCTGGTCGTTTAACTTCTTCCGTCGGACTCCGTTAAGGGGACGCCATACTTGAAAACTCTCCCGACAAAACACTGGCTGTTCCCTGCAAAGTCCGTTTATGTTGCGTCACAATGCCCTTGCACCGTGAAGATACCCGTGGAAATGAATTGGAGCATCGCTCGATACGTGACGAAGGACGACTTCAAGTTTGGAGATTTTGAGGAGCAATACAACGTTTAAATTTTAGGAGCTTTTTAGGAGTGTACAAGAAATGCGAAAAGTGTAGCACGATCGATGACGTGGAGCATCACACCTCCGTGTTTTCCGGCACTTTTAGAGTTCGTCATCCACTTTGACGTCCCCTTAGGGGGTGTTCCACGCGCGGCCGAGTTTGCGTCGCTCCCAGAGCCTCTTCCACAGAGGCTCATCTCGCACATCTCGTTTGCGCCGAACATTGCGATTTTAATGAAAATGACGCGCGCGGATCGGCGCTCATTTGGCTATGCGAAGAGCGGCGTTAAAACACAGCGTGCTTACTTGCATTCCCTGAAGCATCACTGCCGGCTCTTCTCGCGAGGCTAATGAAAACACGCCGCCGCGCGCGTTGACGCACGGAGGATTCACGATCGGCGTCAGGTGGTTCGAGAGATCTTTATTGGGCCCCAGGATCGTCGCTTGCGTCGCCGCGCGCTACCGTGCTCGAGACGACCGAAGGTCGAACGTTTACTCGTCGCGAGGTCGCGAAGTGATGGAATTTCCGTCGCCGATCGAGCCTCACGCGCCCCGGCGCCGAAGCAGAACGGAATAGAGAGCGCCGATCTCGCGCGGGACGATTGTGGACGGGAGTGTTTAATTAACCGACATTGATTAAGGCGCGTCGCGAATGACAAAGCAAACAGCAGGCTAGCGCGGATGCGCCGCGGAGACCGAGAGGGACGATTGGCACGTGTCGCGAGGAGTTTTAAGGCGGATTACGATGTTTGAGCCGGTCGCTGTCTAAATATTGGCTCCGCGCTTCCACGAGTTTGCTGAGTAAAGACAACCGGGTCGGCTGTTTGACTTTGCTCAGTGTCCACGGATTTTGATTACTGCCTGTTGGCCGGTTACGACCGCTTGCACGCTCCTATAAGCCATGTTAAAGCGTTTGTCGCGATGCTCGCTGACAGGTCGACGGATCTCTCAATTCCGCATCGTTGTCGCACACCTCCGTTGTTCGCCAGACGAGCCAGACGCAAAAAGTCTGTCGCATGAACGTTGTCGGTTTAACGCAGCAGAGGACGCGCGATCCGCTGCGCATTTCTTCTCTGGAGACACACGGTTTTATCTCCGATGAAGAATATGCTCTTATTGCAACGTTTTTAAATATGTTCACATCATAATTTATCGCACTTGTAAATTTCAGAAAAGCTCATTATCACACATCACTCGAAAGGAGAATTTATTCTCTCCTCAGGAATATAACAAAATTTGCACTTTCTGTAGTGGAAAGGAGAGAGAGAGAGAGAGAGAGAGGGGGGGGGGCAAAACAAATTTTTGTTTCAATTTAACATCCTCGTATATTAATGTAATATTCTTGATTAAGGTTGTTAGGATTCAGACCATATTTGATCTCGATGATGAATTTTTGTGATAGACTCGCGTATATGCAACCTTATAAAGTACTTGAAGTAAGTAACATTTACTTGATAACAGCATGCATTTTTCTGCGAGCGCTGAAGAAGTTAAACGACACAGGAGCACAAAACGACTCCCGCCGCGAAAGTGCGAAATCCTCCGCCAGCCGTTTTATACGATTCCGATCGAGCCGAATAATCACCTCCATCAGCGTCGCATAATCGCGCCTTTTCAGCACGCGCGCGCGACGACGACGACCACGTCGACGACGACGACGACGACGACGCCGAGGCAAAAATTAGGACGCTTTGACAGGCTGCTTAGTAGCTGGTCCCGTAAAAAAAGCCGGCTGAGAGAATCGGGAGGGACCGGGGACACCGTTACAATGAAAACATCGCCGACTCCGTCGGCTTCGAAGGCATGCTTGTGTCCTTCGTTTTTTCTTTTCGCACCGGGAGAGAAATGGCCGAAAAAGAGACGGAGCTCGAGAACTCTCTCGGTCGTGACAGGGAGGAGGAGAGGACGGAAGAGAGAGAGAGAGAGAGAGAGAGAGAGAGAGAGAGAGAGAGAGAGAGAGAGAGAGAGAGAGAGAGAGAGAGAGAGAAGGAGAGGACAAGCTGCGTCTATTTCCAATCCTGCTGACTGCCAGATGACTCGAGGTATGGTTCTGCCTCTGGCTGCTGTCCTTCCTTCCTTTTCTACTGTTTTCCTCCTCCTCCCTTCGCAGCCTCTGCTTTAAGCGTCTGTCGTACGTTGCGACTTTTTCAGCTCGAGAACTGAAAAACGACGTCGTCTTGCGTTCGAGGGCGCGGGGGCAGGAGTGCGGGGGTGAATAACTTTCCGCTTGAAGCGTCGATTATTTCTGCCATCGGCATTTACACGATTCAAGGCAGAGTGCGCGTTTCCACGGTCGACCCGACATGGAAAACACATCTGGTACGAGAGGAGCTTTACTCTTTCCTTCCTCCCTTTTCGCGCCTCCTCGTCATCCCCTTCGCTCACATTCTTCTTTGTCTCTGTCTGTCCGATCCTCGAAATTCAGGCTCTCTGTCGCACGCGCACACGCCGCCCGTCCCAGTCCTTCTTTCGCTCGTTACGAGCAGCAGCAGCAGCAGCCTCCCGTCCCTCTCCGGAGCAGCCCCCACCAGCAGATAAAACTCGAGTCGTTAACTCGACACGCCGGAAACCGACGCATCTATCTTTATCTACGAGCAGTCCGCCTCTCTCACGGGGGAGAAGCCAGGAGTCTTCTTGAAATTCTTACACGACCGCCGCTACGACGACTCGCTCGACTGTACCCTTGGCGACCGCGCTCGACGATGCCGAGTCTCAATTATTTCCGATCGGGGATCGCTCTCAGGAATTGTCCCTGTCGACATGCGGGCTCTCTCGAAGCGATGCGCGATTCGCCGCGGATTTTCCGTGGAACACGCGCGAGAATTCCTTTGCCGAAATTCCACCGGCGATAATTCAGCGATCGTCGGCAGACTCGCGACGTCTCGGTCGGTTTAATCTCGGCCGGTAGAAGCAGCAGCAGGAGAAGGGTGAGGAGGAGGAGGAGGAGGAGGCGGAGGCGGAGGCGAAGAGACGACGAAACCGGGTGAAGAATTAAGGTTCGCAAGCTCATTAACGTGACTCGTGGTAATGAGGCGAGCTAAGCGGTGCCCGGGAACATCTGCCCGGTTTCCCCGTTGCCTCGTAACTCGAAAAAGAAAGATGGAGACCTCGACGACGAAAAGAAGCTCGTGTGGGTACGACGAGGAGGAGGAGGAGGAGGTGGGCGAGAGAGCGGCGGGAGGCGAAGGGACGCGCGGCTTAAGCACGCGAGCCGAAAGCCGATCAACGAAAGCGACGTGGAAAGGCGAGAGATTTCGTCCCCGCCAAATTTTATCCCGCTCCACGTCGGATATGCGAGTCGACGTAAGATGACTCTGTATAATTTGCCGAACAGTAATCCCGTGACTCGTCACAAGCGAGAGCGCGCTAATGAGAGAATCGGTGTCGATCCCTAACAATTCTGGCTGGGTTTCGTCTAGGCTCTACTAATACACCATTTTGCGTGGATGATGGGCGAGATGATGATTCGATTTTCAGAAAATCGATCTTTCCCTCCGAAAGTCGGCTTTTGAGGCCGTAGTTTTCGTAGTTCGATTTTTCTACAAGTCGATTCTTCCGAACTCATTCAGCCCACTTGAATTCTTCGTCAAACGTGAAACAACAATACATTAACGGAGATCGAAAGTCGACTTTTACACAAATCGAACAGAAGAAAATCAGCTTTCTGAATTTTGCGCGCACCATCGATCGCGCGGGAGTCGTTCGATCGTCTTTCTCCCGCGTTACTCGCAAAATCACGCGCGAGTTCGACTCGCGCGAGGGGTTGAAGCAGTTTACGATGTTTCTGCGGGGTCTCGCTTCATGATATTCATCGCCAGGCCTTACCGGTGACGACGTGTGGCGACGATGAGGGCAGGGAAGGAAACCATATGGCACGGACGTTGCATATGACAGTGCGTGGCACGCGCTTCAAACGCGATCAGAAGGGGCGGC